AAGAAAAGAATGGACGGCAGGGCTGGGCGGGGCACCAGCGTTAGCGGCTCCGCAGTCAATGATGAGCACGCACAGAGGCGAGCCATAGTAGGAGTTGGACACGCCCTGAAGATGGGCAAAGTTGGCGGCTGCAGGTACAACGAGAGCAGAACGAGAAAGATGAGAACAAGAGATGAAGAAAGCGAAGGGGGGGTACATTTAGATTAACCCCATCAGTTTGCGAGGTGAGTGCAGTGCGTACGCTGGCCGGGCTCGCTGTCGATTCGCACCACCTTGTTGTGTTCGTTGAGGATGACGCCTGGAATACCGGTTTCGCTGTATCCCGGGGGAAGGGGGGCGGTGGGGTCGTAGTCCATCAGCCGGTCGAACGTCGCGCACTGCTTCCCGCTCGCCGCCACCACGAAGAGGGCGACCAAAAGAAGTCCGAGAAGCTTCATAATCCTGCACCCGCCCGAGGTAGAGGTAGAGAGGTAGCGAGAGATAGAGACAGAAACAAAGGAGAGCATCAACAAACAAAGATTAATAATCCACGTTGAAGTGGTTCGAAAAACTAATCTCGATTCTATCCTCTTCTGCTCCGGTTCCACTTTTTCGTTTCACCCAGCCTCGCAGCAGAGAAGATGATTCGAGGGGGTCGAACCTGTCGAGAGCGGCTCGTCGCCTTCTTTTTTTTTCTTCTGGTGGGTCAAGCGATCTCACACAGAGCGGTCTTCTCCAATGCCAGCCCCTTTTATCCCGCCTTGACGGCTGTTGGGTAAACACCACGAAATTTCCTTTTTCCTGTCACACCTACCTAAATCGGACTTTCCTTTCTCGTCCACACGAAGCCAGAGAAGAAGTACCACCACCTTCCACTTACAGACAAAGACAAGGGATAGGCAGAACAGTAGAGAGATAGATAAGATTGGTTAGGTAAGAGACTGGTGATGGATGATTCCGACTTTATCGTCGTTCATTGGGAAGGAAGGACGGACGTGGCGCTGGGCTTGGTGAGGCTGCCCTCCGAGGTGGATGTGGACCTGACCACCCTGCGCTCGATGGTCGAGAGCCAGGTCGAAGCCATCGCCCTCCAGCGCAGGACCGGGGCGGGTAAGGACTGGGACTACCGGTTCCTGATGCCCAACCGCGGGGTTGTGGCCGCCGCCTCCGAGAGGATGGAGAAGGGGCGGGTGGTCAGGAAGAAGCCCAGTGCGGCCGCGGCCTACGTGCCCATCGGACGCAAGCAGGAGATCGAGATGTTCCTCTCCGACCTCCTCATCGGCTCTCCCGACAATGTCAGTCCGTCGATCGTGCTGCGTTCCGTCAAGGCCACCGACGAAGACAAGCCCGCCGACTCGAAGCCCGAGAAGAAGCGCCGGTGCGTCTTCAACACCGTCGTGGGCCTGATGGTCGCCGCCGCGTTCCTCTTCCTGGCTTTTCACTCGGGTCTCAGCGCTCATGGGCCGCATCACCACCACGACGACCACCATCGCCCGTGGGGCGGCCAGCAGACCCAGCCCGAGCCCCCGCACGCGTGGTGGAACGAAGTTAACCCGGGACTAGGCGCATACCCTGGTGACGGTGGCGCGTACCCCGGTGGCGCTGGTGGTATGGACTACGGCAAAGAAGTGAACTATGGCAACCCGATGCCGGTGTACGGCCTGCCGCCTTCCGAGCCGCAGGTGGCCATCCTCATCATCGAGGAGGTCGAACTGCAACAGCAGCAGCCGCCGCTGGCGATGGAGGATCAGCCGATAAAAGTGGACGTGCCGGCGGGCTGGCCCGTGATGAGCCCGGAGGACGCCTGGACGGGCGCACCTTCATCGGAGGCAAGTGACATGGGCTGGAACAGCGAGGAGGCCTCCTCCTCCCCCGACACCGCCATCGACCTGCCCGCGCCGATCGACCGCCGTAGGTCCCAGCTCGGCGACCAGGCCTCGTCGTCCGACCAGATGCAGATCCAGATCGATGTGCCGGTGCTGATGATGATGCCGCGCGAGGAGCTCCCCAACCCACCTTCGGGCGGTGCCTTCGCCGATCCGGCGCAGTTCCCACCGCCGCCCCAGTACCACGTCGACCCGGTCCCGCCCCGCGACTACGGCCGCGACATCAACTACGTCGACCCGCAGCCGCCCAAGTTCCTGGTCGACCCGATGCCCGGTGGCGCGCCTTGGGCTCACCCGGGCGGCCCCGGTGGCATGCCCTGGGCTCACCCTGGTGCCCCTGGCGGCCACCACGGAGGTCACTATGACGGCCACCACCACGATGACCACCACGGCTACCGCTTGCTGGAGCGGGTGGCGCTGGCGATCGTGTACACGGTCGGCTCTTCGGTCGATGGCTACTTCCGCACGTTCGTCACCTGCTGGGCGGAGATGGGCACCTGGCTGGTGCGGCTGATCGACGCCTACTTTGCGCTGCTGCAGAACCTCATCGACCACATGCTCCTGTGGCCGGTGGTCGTCGTGCTGGTGGTGGGGATGGCCGTCGCTCTCCACTACGCCGAGCGGATCATCGCCGTCGTGCTGCCCTACAAGGCCGGCGACCTCAAGAACCAGCTCGCTGATGACCCCGAGGAAGAGGATCTCGCGCACGTCGCCGACCTGGTCGACGAGGAGTGCCCCAAGCTCAAGGACTGAACTTCGTCTTCGTCTTCTTCGAGGTCTGTACATAACATACACGCACGCGCGCATTGCACACGCTCATGACACGACACACGACGACGCGACGCACACGGTGAGGAGACTGGAACTTGGCTTGTGAATGCGCGAATGGTAGAAATAAAAAGAGAGCTATGCAGGATGGTGCGTTCAGGCGTCGGTTTTTGTCGTGGTGTCCAGCGAGCGCTGGGTGTCGGCGTCGCCTTCGGTCTTTGTTGTGATGTCCAGCGTGCGCTGGGCGTTGCCGCCGGCTTCGGCGGCGTCGGGAACGAACACGCGCGTCTCGGTCCTGGTGCAGCCCGACCCGGACTTCTTCTCGGTCAAGGTGATGTACTCCTTGCCACCGTCCACCTCCTCCACCGCCTTGTGCTCGGTCACAACCGGCGTCTCCTTGCTCTGTCGCCAGCACACAACATTAGGTTTGAGTTGAACACGCGACCTCGTACATGTGTGTGTGTGTGTGTGTGGTCTTGCGGAGTACGTACGGGCAGGGTGACATGCTTGTACGTGCTGTCCGTGAAGCGGAGGTATGACATGAGAACGTTGCTGATGACGAAGGGGAAGATGGTGTAGGGCTGGTAGACCAGCACGGCCCAGCTGACGAGGAAGTTGAACAGCAGGACCAGGGAGAGCGCCGTCTCGCCCTGCAGCACGTCGCTGCGGCGGAACCTGATAACCCCATCCCTTACCTTGCCTACAAGTGTGCCCAACGACGGTCATCGAGGTCAGCCACATGCGTCTAGCGTGTGTGTGTCGTGTGTGTGTGTGTGTGTGTGTGACGTATCGTACCATCCACCCAGGTGGTGAATGCGTAGGAGGAGGCGGTCGAGGCGAGCAGCAGCCCGACGGAGGCCTGCACGGCTTTGAGGCCGGCCAGGCGGACGACATCGCTCCTGACACTCTTGAGGCCCTCGCCCTTGATCTTGAGCGCGTCGCCCTTGCGCACCACGTTCTCCATGGTGATGGGGTAAGTGCCCGTAGGCTCGCCCAAGGCACGCGAGAGAATAAACGAGTTGAAGCTTCGCCTCGTGCGTCTCCTCGCCCAACTGTACACAGCAACACAGCACACAGCATACGAGCGCAATCTGTGAGTCAGCGTGGAACCATGGCGACCCAGAGAGTGTACGTACAGGAACGCGATCACCGAGAGTGTGGCCACGGAAGCCACGCTGTGCAGGGCGGTGCGCTCCCAGCCTGTCAAGCCGCGGGTGAAACTGGGCATGTGCTGGTTGTGATCGTCGCCCAGGGGCAAGCCCGAGCTTTCGGCCATGCTCTGCACCTTCTCCATGTACTCGCGGACGAAGACCACAGATTCGTTGCGCTCGAGCGCGAAGCTGTACGGGGCCAGACCCAGGAACTGGAAGAACACCAACCACAGCACCGCCTTGGGCACCGAAACGCCTCCGATCTGCATCACCGTCATCACCATCACCATCGCCATCACCATCATCATTGGTTGGATCGTTAGACCTTGTGCGAATTCAAGTGCGAATTCAAGATCGCTCTGGATAATGATTATGGTGTGCACGTACGTTCCAGTTGAGGGTCCGCTTCTGGAACTCATAGAACTCGGCGCGCAGGGCGTCCAGGGACGCTGGCGTCTCTGCCACTGCAAGGGACAAAGGGTTAAGAGCCCGACCAGGCCTGATGTGCACACATATGTGCTACAGCGCAGAAGCGTACCCTTGGCCGTCTCGGCCGCGGCCGGGACCTCGGTGGAGTAGCTGCGTCGGCCGCCTGGCAGCTTGGATCTGAGGCCCGCCCGCAGCGGCTGCGCGAGCCCATTCAGCCCCAAGCGGCGACTGCGCAAGCGCAGCAGAGATGAGATTTGTGTGTGGGGAGCGATTAAATAAAAGGCAAAGATCGGAGTGGTCGGGCGTACAGAGTGGCCGAGGCAGCAGTGGTGAAGGGCGTATGCAAATTGGGTCGGGTGGCAGTGGCGACAGTGCTCAGAAGGCTGGCTGAGCGGCTGGACGACCCGGCGGCGCCAGTGAGGATCGCAGCAGATCGTGCGCCGATTCGAGTGGAAATTTGGGAAAGCGGTGGTTGAGATCGTGCAGAAGCGAGCCAGGTTTGCGCTGATGCTCTTCTCATCTTGCTCCGTGTTGTGGGCGTGTGCTGTGGTCTCAACGCGGGAGCGTTGTAGGACCACTTTCTTCGGGTTTTGTGGGGTGTTCGAAGAAATACAGCGAAGAGGAGTTATACGAAGTGGGAATGCTCTCTGCGTTGTTTTAACTATTTTATTTCTCCGAGAAGAAAATAAATAGTTAAAACAGTACCGGCATTTCATATTTCTTGCTTCCGAGTAGTAGGAGGGGGGGAGGGTGGGTGTACGCAGAGAGCGTTCCCACTTCGTATAACTCCTCTTACCGGAGGTAACATGAGTTACACTCCGTGGAACGCTCTCTGCGTTGTTTCGTACAGAGACGTCGGGCTACAGGTCGGCATCGCTGTTGGCGTCGTCGCGGTCGCTGTCGACGTTGAACAGGATATCGGAGTAGGAAGACGGGACTTGACGCACGACGTAGTGACGCCAGAAGGTGTTGGGGTCTCTCCAGCCGCCCAGGCGGAACAGGGCGTCGGGTTCGACGCCGGCTCTTATCCCCGCCATGATACCCGATTTACGGAAGGTCTTGGCGGTGAATGCGGCCGTGTCGAGGTCGGCCTCGCGGGCCACCCCTTTCAGGATCTCGGCGCATCGGTCGGGTTGGAGTCGGTTGAACGGGCGCTGGAGTTCGAAGACGATGCGGCAGTTGCGAGTTCTCTCGTGGATGTGCGCGGTCTGTTCTGACCAGCGCTGGAACGTGCGCACAGGGCAGAGAGCCGCCTCCGAGCACTCGAAGATGGGGACTGTGAGGCCATCCCCGTACAGGTCGTTCTTGTAGCCGGAGACCGGCACGACCAGTTTTCGGGGGCTGCTGGAGTCGTTGATCGTGACGTCGTTGAAGAGCGGCAGCGTTGCGGCGGAGACCCGGAACGCGCCGAGGACACACAGGAGGGCGATGAGCTTGGCTCTTGTCCTCTCGGGGGACGTGTTCACGCCCCACCTGCAGAAGAGCTGGGCCAGGTTTGAGAGGTCGAAGGTCTTGCCATGGTCGATGGGCCTGCGCGTGCAGGTTCACACGAGGGCCCGTCGCAGTCGGCGGATGAGGGGGTCTTGGGTGGGGGACAGACCCATTGGTTTGTAGAGTGTGTTGATTGTGGCCAGCAAGGAGTTGATGGTCATGGACGGGCACTGGAGGCCTCTGGTCGCCAATTCGATGAAGTTGGCTATCGACGCAACTGCGTCCTCCGGCTCTGGCAGGAAATCTAGCTGCTCACAGCGGCAGAAGTCCCTGAAGCGCACTAGCGAGGAGCAGTACTGGCGCCAGGTTGAGGGCGCTAGCGTGTCGTTGAGGGAGGTGAGTGCATTGGTGGACCAGCCAGTGGTCCTGTGGATCCAGAGATCCTGCAGGCGACCCAGTTCCACCTGGGGTTGTGCAGGGGCTTGGGCGCATTGTGGCCCTCCCAGGGGAATGAGGCTGGCTCATTGGGGATGGGGACTGGTGGGGCTGAGCAGAGGTCCAGCAGCTCCTGGAACCACTGCTGGCCCCTCCACACTGGGACGATGATGGTGGCCTGGGCTCACTGATGGCAAATCAGGGCCATGATCTTGGGGATGAGGGCTATGGGCGGGACTACCCAATTGTTGTCTCACCACCAGTCCTGCATGAGGCAGTTGACTGCCTCCAACCCTGGCTTGTGGAAATGGCTGTTGAACCGGGGGAGGCATGCATTCAATGCGGTTGCTGTGCAGTCGATGGTGTGTGGGCCCCAGCAGCGGTTGAGCAAATGGAAAATGTGGTTGGCCAGCCACCACTCATGCTGCAGGTACAGGCGGCTCAGGCGGTTGGCCCTGCCATTGTTGAGGCCCAGTAGGTGTTGGGCTGAGAGCTGGGTGTGGTGCTGTTCGCACCACTTGAGGATCTTGCATGTAGTTTTGTTCAGCACAGCACTGCGTCCACCCAGCCTGTTGATGTACACAACAGTGGTCACATTGTCACACTGGAGAAGGACTGAGCAGTTCAAGAGCATTGGCTGGAAGGCTCGCAGGGCTTGAAGGACTGCTTTCAACTCCAGCTCATTGATGTGCCAGCAGCGTCCATGCCACCAGCCTGCTGAAGTAGCACTCAAGTCCCTCAGCACCCCACCCCAGCCAGTGAGGGAGGCATCAGTGTTGAGTACCATGTCAAATGGTCTCATCAACGCCAGACGCCCATCCCAGGTCGCCATGCCAGCCATCCACTCCCACAGGTCATTCTGGGCCACGTCAGAGAGGTGGATGTGGCTGTTCCAGCTCCTGCGTCACACAACATCGCAGTAGAGGTTGCACAGGAGTAGGTGAGCTGGTAAGACTGCTCACATGAGAGAGCAGCAGTGGCCCGCCACCACCACTGCCCATCGAACCAGGACTTGGCCATCCTGGTCATGGGCGCAGAGGAGGCGTTCAATGTCATGCTTCAGGGCGTGGGCTTTGCCCATGGGCACCCAGAAGCAAGGCTCTCCAGTCATGTCAATGGTGAGCCCCAGGAACTCCTTCAATTGGCTTGGCACCAGCAAAGACTTCTCATGGTTGATGTGCCAGCCCAGGCCAGTGATCACCTTGAGGGCCATCACTCAGTGTTCAATGGCGCGGGCCTTGTCTGGGGCCATGATGATCATGTTGTCCATGTACACCATGCACTGGATGCCCCTCACAGCCAGGGCTCTGGTGGTGGCGTGGACAAACCTTGTGAAGATCCATGGGGAGGTGTTCAGGCTGAAGGGGCACGCCTGGAAGGTGTAGTGGGTCCCCCTCCAGTGGAAGGCGAGTAGGTGCTGGTGACGGGGATGAACTTCCACATGGTGGAAGCTGTCCTGGAAGTCAAGGGTGATGAGGAAGTCGCCTGGATGGAGGAGATCCGCCAGCTCTCAGAGAGACTGGAACTTGAACTTGGGTGGCCTCATGAAGCAGTTTAGAAGCTGCATATTGACTATGAGTTGTGATTTGCTGTTCTTCTTTGACAGACACTGATCAGAGAGATCATAATCCTGTGTGGCGCCAGAGCCGGCGCCAGGGCTTGAGGTGGACAAGTTCAATGGCTTGAAATAAGGTTTCTTGCCCTTAGAGGAGGGCAAGGAGTTGGAGTTGTAGTTGTTGTTGCTGCTGCCCAAGTGATTGGACCACTTGTTGGGTTTCTTTGTGCCAGTGGCTTGCTGTTTGAGCGTGGCAAACTTGAGCGCTATGAAGAATTGTTCCTTGTCATGGGACAGGATCAACGACCCCTCCAGAGCCCTGAAGGCCAGAAGGGCCTTGGTTGGGAGCACCTTGGTCATCCAGGCCTTGTTGTGCATGTGGAGTTGTTCCCTCATCCCAATGAGGGTGATGGAGACGATGTCCTCCAGGTTGTTGGAGGCTGCCAGGAATCTTTGTGCCATGTGGGCAGAGGCCTGGATGATGGTGTGGAAGAGCTTGAAGGCCTCCTGCATGCGGGTGATGGATCATTTTTTGTCTTTGGAGAGGCCCATGTTGGAGGAATTGGGGAAGGAAGCGCCATCTATGACAGTGTATCCTTGAACCAGCCTGTGGATGACCTTGAGGGGATCATCCAGCCCATGAGTGAAGGGCGACATTGCAGCAATATAGTTGGTGAGGTCCTCCTTGGGGGCGGTGGTGGTGGTGGTGGTGGCAGTGACAATGATGGGTTGAGGTGTTGGAGCTTTTGCAGGTGTGATCAGAGCAGCTGCCGCTTGAGGCAAAGGCGCTGGGGAGGAGGATCCTGTGGGGGTATCCTTGGAAGTCTTGTTCCCCTCTGGCGCTGAGCCTGCACCATGAGCTTTAACAAAATTGGCAAGTGCAGTGCTGATGATGGATTCAATTTCAGTTTTCAAGTCATTGACTTGGTCCTCCCAGAGTGACTCCTAGAGGGAAGGCTTGTGCTCTGGGGAGGATGATGGAGAAGAGGAAGAACTAGTGTTCATTGATTGACTTAGGCTGATGAATGGTAGCCTACACAAATGAGGAAGCAAGAAGAAAGATGAAATACTGGTACTGTTTTAACTATTTATTTTCTTCTTGGAGAAATAAATAGTTAAAACAACGCAGAGAGCGTTCCAAGGAGTGTAACTCATGTTACCTCCAGTAACCTCAATTTATAAATTGAGTGAAGGCCTGGCTTGGTGCAGTGCTGATGTGTATGGTGTGCTGCACAAGCCTATGTGCCAATCCCTGTCATCACCAGGTGAGCCCCCTTCCTGTTGTGAGTGTAGGGCCTCAAGAGCGTCAGAAGCAATGTCATCTGCCTGGCTGGCCTCAAAGCTGTGCAGGCCTCTGTTGGGCTGCTGCTTGCCTTGACTGCCTCCTCCTACGCATTCACCACCTGGGTGGATGGTATGGCACCGCATGACACACACACAACACACACTAGATGCATGTGGGTGACCTCAATGACCATCATCAGGCACACTTGTAGGCAAGGCAAGGGATGGGGTGATTAGGTTGCAATGGATCTAATGAGCGCCATCCAGCACACTGACAACAGGCACTCAGTGGGGAGGCGTGTGCAGTCCCACTCTTGGTCCAACATGAGATTGGCAAGGAGCCCTTCACACAGTGTCTGCAGGCTTGTCACCATGGTCAAAGCCTTGATCTTTGCTGGAGTGAATGCAAGAATGGCTCTTTATTGTTCATGTCCCACAGGCCTTAATAACATGCTGTGTCACAGCATTTTGAGGCCTGGACCATTGCCCCTGCGCCTCAGGTGGACCAGGCGTCGAGGGAGGTACTTGCTCAAGGTGGCAGTCTCTCCTGCACTCATGTTTGGGTGACCTGTGTTCATGACAGTGACCATCTCTGCTCACTTCACAGGAATGTTCAGGACCTGGCCTGGGAAGATACACACAGGGTCCACTCTGGGATTGGCCACACTCAGTGCTTTGAGGGTGATTCCAAACTTGAGCATTGGAAAATACCCACAGCACCCTATTGGCCAGATACCAGCAGGACTTGAGACCACCAAGTTGAGTCCCAATGGAAGTGGCTGAAATTATCACCAGACACCACAACTCCTTTGGGGGCAATCTGGCCAACCAGTTTACTTTGCTTAACAAGCCAAACTCCTTGGCTGAGGCCCCTCTGGCCCTCCACAAGCCCCACTATGAGCAGGCAACATGTCTCAAGGCTACCACATTGTCAAGGAGGGAAACACCTCAGTGGGCATCAGCATCAGCAGATGTTTGATTGCCTCTTTCCTCCCTCATCAGTGCCAATCCCCAGATCACCAACCCTCATCCACCCTGGCAACCAGACAATTCCACAGTGGCAGGGCACAGGCACTGGTGCTTCCTCCTCCAATGTCAGCACCATGCTTGCACTGGTGAATGTTGAGTGCAGGAAGGCAGGGGTGCCTCCCCTGGCTCTGGACCCTTGGTTGTGCAGCACTGCACAGGTGCACTGCCTGGACATGGCTCAGCACCACTCTCCTGGGCATGTGAGCTTGGGGGGGTCTTCCCTGGCCTCAAGGATCACAGGCACTGGCTACTCCTTCTGGCCATTGTGGAGAATGTTGGCTGTGCAGAAGCAGCCCAGGTGACAATGGACAGCTTCATGAAGGAGGTCCCTGCATGATGGCCACAAGAGAAATGTGCTCAACCCAACCTACCACAACATCAGCATTGGATATGCCACTGATGGGCACAGCCACCATTACTGGACACTGGACTAATTGTTGTTGCACATGATGAGCATGGCTGCCATGCAAAGTCCAGTTGTCTCCTCCAGTGTTGTGATGATCATTAGCTTCATTGCCAGTGTTTCAGGGGGAGTTGGAGGTTGCGGTTTGTGGTGTGGTCACTCAATCCACAATGTGAGATGGTACAGAGTGTGAGTGGGAAGGAGCTGCAGAGCGTGTTGTTTGGAAAGCCACATCGCACGACCTACGAGTACGCCAGCCAGCTGACCACCGAGCTGGCCACGCAGCAGGGCCACACTACTCCGCACCATCGCGATTCAGTGCCTTGGGCCAACCACCGCGTGGGTGCGAAAATTATTATTGGTTGGGGTTTTTTAATGTAGCCCGCTGGAGTGGATTGGTCGCTATTATTATTGTTGTTGCAATCTCCCAATTTATGACTTATGCGAACCACGCAGCACTAAGACGAGCCAACCACGCGAGAGCGGGACCGAACTCCGTACGCGCAACCACCCGGGTGGTGATACACCTCCGCCACCGTAGCGCAGACCGACACGGCAGCCCAACCACGCGAGGCCGTAGCCAAACCCACCGGACCCGCAGCGAGCAACAAACGACCCTCGAACTGCAACACTCGCGTGTCGAACACTGAAGCCATGATGGCTAGACACCAACGACTGCAGCTGGCTTGTTGTGTGCTTCTTCTGGTGGCGGTGGTTGCTCCCTGGCTGACGTGCGCGCTCAGCTGCCGGAGCGTGGCGGCCGGCGGCGACTGGCATCTCAACAGCACATGGACCGGGTGCGGCGGCGGCCTCCCCGGACCCGACGACGTGGCCACCATCGGTGGGTCTTCGCAGCAAGCGGACGTCACCATCGCCTCAGGCAGCGCCCCCGTGCAGGTTGCCGCGGTCCTGGTCAACTCTGGCCGACTTCTCAACAAAGGTCCGATTACAACCCACAAGGGAGGAAGAAGAACGAAGAAGAACGAAAGCGGGGAAGAGGGGGGGTAAGAAGTTATCTAAACTGGGCACTTTTGCGTGTGAGTTCAGGTGAGCTGCGTGCGGCTTACGTGCTCGTGGAAACGGCGGCTCTGCTGTCTACCGGTAAACTGGCCGTGGCAGGCAACGCCACGCTGATCGTGGACTCTGGCGTTTTGACACACTCAGGCAGCCTCTCGCTCAACGCCTCGGCAGAAACCAGTACTGTCTCTTTCGCTTTCACTTTCGCTTTCGCTCTTCTTCGCTCTTCTGATAACCTAACGATTGTTGTCGTGACAGACGGGTCCGCCTACTTGCGAGTCTCCTCGTCGCGCGTGGCGATTGACGGCTCGCTCTCCGTGTTGAGCACGGCGAGCGGCTATGCGCGGGCCATTGTCGCGAGTTCGCGGGTCACCGTCGGAGGTCGTCTTACGATCACCGGTGGCTTTAGCTCCGACGCCGCGACCGTCGACTCGGACCTGCTCAACGAGCTCGCCTCCGGTTTGGGCGCCGAATCGTCAGCCATCATAGTACCTTCAATTCCCCTGTGTGCGGTGTGTGCGAGTGCCTGCAGGTGGCTCACCATCAGCGCTGTGCAGGTCAAGGGGGATGTCAGCATCACCTCGCACTACGGTCAATCAGAAATCGGTGGCGGTGCGACAGGCAACGTTGCGCTCTGGGCGCAGGGAACGGACTTGACCGTCGGCGACGAGCTGGCCGTGCAGTCGGCTGACGCCGGCGCCGGCGCCAACAGCGGGTTTGTCGAGCTGGCTACCGCCCAGGACGTCGACCAGCCATCTGGCAGCGGTCCCGTCTCGGTCAGCAACATCATCGTCGGAGGTAAAAATCACAGTCATTCGCTCTTGCCACGTCATCAAACCCACCTCTCACGGTACTGCACTGCAGGCGTCGTGTTCGTGGAATCGGGCGACGGTGGCAGTGCCGATGGTGGCCAAGGCGGCTCCGCCGGTGGCGTTGTCCTGGGGCTCTACAACAGTGTTTTGGCGGCCAAAGGAAAGGTCGCGTCGATCGTCGTGCAGGGCGGCAACGGCGGCTTCGGCAGGTACGCTCATGAGCTGAGCTGAGCTTTCTCGTGGTCTTTTCGTTATCTTAACTTTGGCTTTCGCTTTTGTGGACAGCGACGGCGGAGGTGCTGGCGCGGATGCCAAGGTGGTTGTGGCCTACGGGGGCACGGTTAAGGTGTCGGGTGAGCTGGCCCTCACCGGCGGTCAGGGCGGCCTCGGCGGAGGTCTGGGCGGCTCTGCGCTCTTGAGCGTTCAGCACGGCGGCCAGATCGACGTGGGAACCGATGCGGTCTTGATGTCGGGTGACGGCGGTGATGGCCACCCCAACTCCACCGACGGCGGCAACGGAGGTTCGTTCATTCCCCCCCCCCCTTGCCCGTCCCCCGAATGTCGGGCGGCTCTGAGACCTGTTGTGGGCGCAGGCGTCTCGGGTCTGCTCATCGTCGAAGCCGGCAGCGTGACGGTCAAGCGCGATGCTGTCTTCACCAGCGGCCGCGGCGGCAACGGCAACCAGGGAGGCTCCTCCCGTACCAGCTATCTGGCTGCCGTACGTGGCCCCACTACCACCGTGTCGTGCGTGTCCTGGTGTGTCGTGTGTGCTCACAGAGGTTTCTTGGTGTAGGCGCCGGTCAGCGATATCCGAAAGAGGGCCACCACCACGAGCGCACACAAGAGTTCGCTGTCGGTTGCGATCGGCGGCGATCTGCGGCTGGTGAGCCGGCCGGCCGGCAATGGCTCCACGTACGGCGGCGGCGGCAGCTGCATCGCCGCCCGGACCACCAGCCTGACCGGCGACGTGGGCGGCATCGTGCTCGACGTCTACGGCGCCCGACTTGCCGTCGCCGGCGACATCTCCATCGGCGGCTGCAGCGGCGGCCAAGGCTTTGGCGTGCGGGGTGGCTCGGCCGGAGTCACCGCCATCACCTGTACGCCCCCCCAATCCTCGTTTTCGTTCTTTTGCTGACGAAAGCTGATGTGGGCACCAGCGCTCGGGGGCTCGATCGGCGTGGGTGGGTCGGTATCGGTGACCGGCGGCGACGGCGGTCTCTCGGTCAATAGCACGAATGACGGGGGCCAAGGCGCGATCGCCTTCCTGGCGGCCGACACGGACAGCTCGATTGACATCCAGGGTTCGCTCACGCTCGCGAGCGGCCGCGGCGGCGACGTGGTCAACGGCACCGGCAATGGCGGAGACGTGGCTGCGAGCTCGAACAGCCAAGACCTGTTCGCGGGCGTTTCGCTCCATGGAAGCTCGTCGGTCACCGTGGCAGGACTGGTGAGCGTCACCAGCGGGCCTTCGGGCAGCGTCAGCGCAGGTACGCAGCAGCTCCGGCCAAAGCCACACAAGCCCCTTCTTATAGCTCCGACCGTGGTTCAACTCCGACGGGTGCAGGGTCGGTTGAGGGTGCTGCTGGGAGGGCAGGCAGTCCCGCCACCATGAGCATCGTGGCCGATGACAGCTCTGCCTTCACAGCGGGCGACGTCTCGCTTGTGGGCGGCGACACCGGCTTCGCCATCACCAACGTGGTAATGCAATCGCACACACCGCCGCACGCGCACCACGGAACGCGCACACTAACCTCGGGGATGTGGAAAGGCGGGCGAGGAGCCGGCCACTGACGACGAGGCCGACCTGGTCAACCCCACGGCTGTCGGCGCGTCCGGCCGGGGCGTGATCACGATCAACGGCAAGCTCTACGTGAAGGGGGGCAACGGCGGAAGCGAGAACCTAAGGCGCGCCCGCGACGCCGGCTCGGCGCAGGTCGCGGTCACTTCGTTCGGGCGCGCCATCCTCCGCGGCACGGCCACCGTGTTGGGCGGCGACGGAGGCAACTCGGCCTCGGCCAGCGACAACGGCGGTATGTCCTGCTCACACCGCACACACTCATCGCACACGAGACAGAACACACGACACGACACGCACTCACCGCACACGACACAACACGACACACAACGCGCAGGGAATGGCGGCATAGGTCTGCTCTATGCGCGCAGCGAAGGCCAACTCACGTTCGGCGACCTGGTGCTGCGCGGTGGCGCGGCGGGTCAGGGCGCCCAGATCTCGCTCGACGGCGAGCGGGGTCCGGCGCTGGCCACCGCCACCTACGGCGCCGCCGTGTTCCAGTCGGGCCGGTTGTCGCTCCGGGCCGGCGATGCCCGCAACGCGTCGGTCTCGGCGTCGACGCGCTACCCGCCGCACTCGATCGCACTCACGGCGGCCGAGTGGACGGTCTACCCGTGCTCGGGCGCTGGCATCAGCTTCGCCGCCGACCCGGCCAACTCCTTCGCCCTCGCCCTCAGCTCCACCTTCCGGTACTTGACCGCACACGCGCGCCGCACACACCGCACGCGCGCGCCGCACTCACCGCACGTGAACGTAGGGATTGCCGAGGGTCGGGCGCGAGCGTGGGCTACCCGACGCCGGTGTCCGATGGCTCGGGCGACGCGTCGTGCGTGCCGTGCAGCTGCACCGAGTCGGCCTACAGCTCGTGCCCCTCGTCTGCCGCCTCGTCTGTCCTTCCTCCTCTACCACTCGCCTTCATCTTTTCTTTTCTTTTCTGAATTACAAATCAAAATAATTATTATAAATATTCATTATTTTGTTTATTTTGATTATATTTCTTGAACAACGAGGACGAAGAAGATGAGGCAGACGTGGCTGGTTGTGGTGCTGGTGGTAGTTGGGTTGCTGGCAGTGTGGTGCACCACCAGTGCGGCTGCGGGCGCCTCGAGCGACGTGATCGAACTCAACGACGACAACTTCGAGCACCTCACCCAGGCCACCTCCGGATCAACCACCGGCAACTGGCTCGTCGAATTGTACTTTTTCCATTCTCCCCTCCCTCCATCTTTCGCTCTTCATCATCAAGTCTGCAGAAGTGGCAACAATCGTATTCTAATTTGATTTCCATTTCCCATTTTCTTTTGCATTCATCTCGTGCTACACGCACACAGCTATGCGCCCTGGTGCGGCCACTGCAAGTCGCTGGCACCCACGTGGGAGGCCCTCGCCACCGAGCTCAAGGGCACCGTCCCCGTGGCCAAGGTGCGCAACGTTGCATCCACCACACCACCCTCACCCCAGGCCCGGGCGCTCACGCACGCGTGTGTTGCTTCCAGGTCGACGCCACGCTGAACCCTCTCGTGAAGAAGCGCTTTGGCATCAAGGGCTTCCCCACCATCATCTTGTACGCCACACGCACATACCGCACACACCGCACACGCCGCGCGACACGACACGCACAGGCTGACTCTGTGCCCGCGCACGTGAAGCTTCAAGCAGGGCAAGCAGTACGTCTACACGGGAGGCCGTTCGCTGGAGCAGCTCAAGGCGTTCGCCCTGAGCGGTCACGAGAGCGTCGCCTCCGCGCCCATTCCCGCGCCCGTCTCCGCCATGTACTCCCGCCTCGCTCCATTTCCTCCCACGCGCGTGGGCTGACTCCTCGCTCCTCGCTCCTCCAGGGACCAGATCATCGAAATGCTGAACGAGGACGTGCAGCACCTGGCCAACACCAAGAAGGTACCCACGACACGACACGACACGACACGCACCGCACCGCACCGCACGCACCTCGCACGACACGGCACGACACGTAGCGGGCACAAGGGGGGACAGGACGCTCACGAATGGCTTCTTTTTTGTTCGGCCAGCTGGCGGTGGGCGCGATCTTCGTGGTGGGCGGCGTGGTGGGTCTCTTTGTCGGTTTTGTGCTGGGCCGGCTCACCAGCTCGAGCTCCGCCTCCAAGACCTCCACGAAGAGGGAGTGAAGCGCTCAGGTTGGGATGTAGAAGGCGATAGTGACCACATCATTCGCTTCACCTTCACACAAGCATTGCAACAACAGCTCTTCCCACATACGCAAGGTGCCTCTCTTTAGTGTACACGATGGACAATGGAGTGTGCGTGTGCGTGTGCGTGTGCGTGTGGTCAGAGGTTGCGCTGTTCGGGGCTCTTGTAGGTCATGCCCAGGAGCTCGAAGATGTCCTCCTCGCTGTGCACCTCGATCGGGTCGCCCTTCACCCCCGTCGACCCCACTGCGTGCCGAGCGTGTCGTGTGTCGTGTGATCAGCCCTCCACCCTCAGTGCGGCCATCGGCCATTGATGGTGTGTTGTGTGTTGCGTACCAGGGCACACGTCGTACTCGTTGAGGGTGAACCCGCGGTCCAGAGCGATCTTCCTCATCTGCTGGTTGAAGAAATCGCTTCCTGTGTGGGGGGGGCGGTGGTTCAAGGTGTGTGGTCGGCCGCGTGTGGTGCTCAGCACAGCCAACATTAAAAAAAACAACTGCAATGATGTATGTGCGCAGAGGGGTACCTGTAAAGTAGAGCAGTCCGCAGTAGTAGTTCTCGTAGGGGATCACCCTCAGATCGATTCGTCGGTGCAGGCGCTTCTTTTTCTTTGCTTCTACTTCTACTTCTTCCTCTTCTTCTTCCCCTTCGCTGTCTTGCTTCTTCTTCTCCTTCTTCTCTTTCGCTTCATCTTCATCGTCGGGCTGTTCAACCGGGCGTTGGGCATTAGTGTGGAGTCAACGTTGGAGGCACACAGTCCACGACGTACCAATTTGCAGACGCCCATGTACTTGGAGCTGCCCTGCGATATGTCGTCCGTGATCAAGCCCTTCCGCTTCAGCGCCTCCACTGCAACCCACCAAAAACAGATAAATGAATAAAATTAATCAATTAAACGAAATAAAATCAATAATTTTAAAAAAATGCTGTGAGGCACGCGACTCTTACCGACGCGGGACAGGTACTGCGCTTCGGGCTTCTTTTTGGTGGCCACCGTGTACTTCGGATGTGTGAGCAGGACGTCGATCTGTGCGTGCGCGTGTGTGCGTGTGTGTGCGGTGGGGCATGTGCGTGTGTGCGTGTGTGCGTGTGTGCGCGCGTCACCATTAGCAACCAACAACTGACAACAAATAGGGACTGTAAGGCAGTACATCGCCGCTGGACTCGGCGCCTCGTCGATAGCTGCCGCAGGTGGTGCCGATGAGCTCCTCGTCGACCTCGGACAGCGTTTCTTTGATGATTTTCTCGAGTTGCTCCATCTCCGCGCGCGGAATGCGCTCGTTGAACTCGTGAAAGTGTTTGAGTCCTGCGTGTGCGTGTGCGTGTGCGGTGGTGCGTGTGCGTGTGGTATGGGTGAGGTGTTGTGTGCGTGTGCGTGTGCGTCAGTTGATATGAGTGAAGAGTGCGTACGCACCGATCCTCTGGTGGTGCGTGAAGGTGTGCTTCAGCTTTTCCAGGTCCTCGAGCGTGGTGACACCATCATCAATCAGCTTCTTCGCAGCAACCGGACCAAATCCAGAGATCTGCGTGTGCGTACGTGCGTGTGCGGTGGTGCGTGTGCGGTGGTGCGTGTGCTGTGATCAGGTAGCATTCAAGGATGACCATGGTTGATGATGGAAGGAGGGACCTGCTGGAAGAGGTTGAGGGCCTTGGTCTTCGGGTCCTCGTTGAGCGTGTCGAGCTTCTTGAGCTTACCCGTGGCCAGGATCTCGTCTATCTTGAGGCCGATCTTCTTGCCGATGCCATCGAGCTTCTGCGCCTCCGTACCCTGCACGACACCATAGCATCAGCGCACGCACGCACGACACGCACGAAGCAACACGCGGAAAGTGCTCCGTACGGAGGTGATGGCGGTTGGGTGGTTGCGCAGAGCGCGCACGGCCTTCTCGTAGGCCCTGGCCCTGTGCATTTGCCCCTTCGACTTCTCGATCTGTCCCAGCTCTGCCACAGCGCCAGCAATTAAATAACATTTCTTTTTAAATGTAAAGAAACATTGATAAAATAATAAATGTAATACCTGCGAGGATGGCGGTGAGCTTTTGGTTGTAGTTGTCGTGCTTCTCGAGGGTGACCTCCGACGTCTGGTGCTTGCCCGCCGGGCGACGCATGCCGACCACGGCCTTCTTCGGTTTCTTTACCTCTCTTTCATCTTGCACTGACGCATTTTGTTCATTTTCATCCTCTCTCGCTGCCAATTCGTTTGATTTCCTTTTTTTGCCTACGAGCTTGGGGGGTGAGGGCCACGCCAGTCCGCCCTCCTCCTCATCCTCTTGCTTCTTCGTAGGGGAAGCTCCCGGTCGCTTGCTCTTCGTCACGAATCGATCCATGTCTCGAGATGATTTAAAAAGTACTTTTTACGTTCATTTCTTTTTCTTTAATCTTTTCCTGGAAATTGAAGATTTTAATTTTAACATTTTCTTGTTTTTGTCTATTTTCGAAGCCCTCGCGGTGTGATGAACGCAGGGGTTCATTCCGGACTGGAGATGAAGGACGAGTGTGGTCTGCCCGCCCATTGGTGAAAATGAAGAGAGCCGCCCACTGGGAGAACACTGCACCCCACCTCGTCTCCCATTCGCCACTTCGCGCCGACTCTTATCTCGCGCAACAACCGCACACCCTCTTTCAAACATCTCACCACCCCGCGGACCCTTGGCCATTCAAACCACGCCCGGACACGAACACTCATGAACAACAAAACCACAATGAGCCGACCCTTGTGGGTCCTTCATGCGGTGGTCGCGCTACTCATCATCATCAACCCGTGGCCCCTGGTGGGCGCCCTGACGTGCCAGAGCGTGGCGGGGGGCGGGTTGTGGCACGACCCCGCAACCTGGACGCAGTGCGGCGACGGCACTGGCATTCCCGGGCCGGAGGACACGGCCGTTATCGGCGTCCTCGGAATCAACTACGCGCCCGTCACCATCGCCAAGAGCGCTCCGGCCGTCGATGTGGCCTTCGTCTCCATCCAACAGGGCGCCCTCTACATCAATGGTACCAAGACCACTTTTTTTAACTCCGACCACAACAAGGTGTGGAATGTTAACACCGGAGTTATAGGTGAACTGTCGACCACCTCCTTCAACGTGGTCTTCGGCATGGTGGTGAACAAGGGCCGTCTGACGGTCTTCAACCCGTCCAATGACACGTCGGCCTCGACCACCCTCATCCTCACCTACTCCGACTTCCAGCACCCCGGCGATCTCATCGTCGGCGGCCCCAGTACGCTCGCCACTGAGCTCACAGCCCAGAGCCCGCCCATTTTAACTCCTATGTATTCTCTGTTGGTGTGAGCGCAGGCACGGCTGAGGGGCGGATGGCCATCCAGGGCGGCAAGGTAGCGATTGGTGGTTCGGTGGCGCTGACGTCGCTCAGCCTGGCCCGATTGGTGATGACCTACACGCGCATGACGATCGAGGGCGACCTCCGGGTCACCGGCGGCCCGGCCTCCCAGGCCAGCCAGTTTCGCACGCCCATGCTCGACGGCTGGGCTTCCGGCGCCTCCTTCCTCACCTCCGACATCATCGTACCTAACTTAACGCACACAACACAACACGGCACGACACACGACACACGACACACGACACACGACATGCAAGCGCTGATCACGCAACGTTTCGTGATTACTGTAGGTCAAGGGCGACCTGGCGGTTACTTCGCACTATGGGCAGGAGGGCGTGGTTGGCGGTAACACGGGCAACGTGTCGCTGGTGGTTTCAGGTTCGACGGTGGAGGTGCGGGGTGAGGTGGCGCTGCAGTCGGCCGACGCCGCGGCCGGCGGCGCAAGCGGCTTCGTCAAGGTGGCCCCGGCGCCTTCCGTGGACCCCACACCGACCGAAGCCAACACCGTCTCGGGCAGGCTTTATGTCCGAGGCTCGTTCGTCGCGGCCTCTGGCGATGGTGGACGCGGCAGCGCCATCGGCGGCGCTTCGGGTGATGTGACCCTGTCCCTCCTCATGAACGCCTTGGCTGTCAACAGTTCCAAGGCCGGGTTCCTCCTCCAGACCGGAAGCGGTGGCAGCGGAACGTACAGCAGCCCTTCCAACTCTCGGAGTTAAGAAAACTATGATCATTCCAGGACTGACATTCGTGGTGTGTGCAGGAGTGACGGCGGCAACGCAGGAAACATAGATCTGACCGTGGGCCTCGGCGGACGGCTCTCCTTGTCCAACGACCTGCAGCTTGTCGCTGGTCCCGGCGGCGCTGGCGCCCAGGCCGGCGGTGCCCGACTCTCTTGAAGCTCCATTGGAGTGAAGGTTCCTCGTGTGCTGACTTGCGCGTTGGTTCGTGGCGAGGCACAGGCCGCGGCGGTTCGTCGACTGTTTCGCTCTGGCAGGGCGGCGACCTGGCCCTGAACACGAACGCGGTGGTGCGGGCGGGCGACGGAGGCAACGCCACCACGAGCGACGACTCGCTCGGTGGCGACGGAGGCGTGGCGGGCCTGGTGATGGTGCAGGCGGGCACGGTGACGGTCGCCAGGGACTTGACCCTGACCAGCGGCCGCGGAGGCCGAGGCGCCCAGGGCGGCAACGTCGGCCCGAGCTTCCTGCTCGCGGTACTCCCTCCACTCTAGAGCCGCCACATCAGCAGCTTTTACTTACACCCAATCACCAGCGCGACTCGGATGACGTGGCACAGCCAATCGCGGTGAAGCGGAGCCAGGCCTGGCGGCCTTCGCTGTTCGTCCAGGTCGGCCGCGACATGCACCTCACCAGCGCGACCGGCGGCGAGGGCTCCGCCGGCTGGGGCGGCAACTGCAGCCTGGCCCAGCCGGCCCAGCTCGCTGCGAACCAGGGCGGCGTCACTCTGAACTCCTTCGGGGCCGCGCTGTCTGTCAAGCGCCACCTCGTCATCACCGGATGCAGCGGCGGCGTCGGCCGCGGAGGCCCAGGCGGCTGGGCCGCCCCCGCTGGACTAGCAGGTACGGCACCACTTCTTATGTTGATGAAGAAGAAGCTGCTAATGTGGTTGGTGGTGATGAATGTAGTTCTGGGCGCGAGTGTGACGGTGGGCGGCAACATCAGCATCGCTGGAGGCGACGGCGGGGCGGCTATCGGCGGTTCCGGCGACGGAGGCCAGGGCGCCCTCGCCTTCGTGCGCGGCTTCAGCTCGTCCACCATCACCGCTAACGGTACGCACCTGCGATCCTCCCCACGCCGTTGGTCGACTGCTGACGTCACCAATTCATCAACCAGCGGTCGATCTGGTCAGCGGCCAGGGCGGTAACGCGGTCAACGGCACGGGCAATGGCGGCAGCGTGGATGCGGGCTACGTGGTGGGCACCACAACTGACCTGCGGGCCGGCGTGCACATGCGGGACGACTCCGTGTTGACCGTCGGCGGGGGCCGCGGCAGCCTGCGCATTTCCGGCGGCAGCGCCGGCGGCGTCGACGCAGGTGCGCTCACCGTGTGTCGTGTCGTTTGTCGTGTCGTGTGCGACAAATTACACTCACTGTGTGTCGTACCATGTGTGTCGTGTCGTGTTGCGTATGAGCAGAGTGGTGGGATGGAGCGGCGCCGTCAGCGGGCAGCGCGGCGCGAGGCGGGATCGAGTCCGTGAACGTTGGCGCGGCGGTGAGTGCGGGCGACGTCACCATCATCGGTGGCAAGCGGGGCGACGTCAACCTGCGCAACGTGCCCCAGCCGGTACGGCGCGCCCCTGCGGCCACGCGCGGCGACGCAGGGCTGGGCCTGGATCCGCAGGCGCAGCCGCTCGAGAGGCTGCTGAGGCGCGCCGAGCGCGACGAAGTTGCCCCCTTGGTGTTGGTCCACTCCTACACCGGCGGCAAGATCACCATCACCGGCGCCGCCCTGCTCCAAGGCCGTGCGTTTGCCTCTCTTTCTCGTATGTTGTGTGTGTGTGTGTGTGTGTGTGTGTGTGGGCACTGGACCTGACAAGCTGGCGCGCAGAGGCGGGTGGAAGCAACACGTTGGGCGCTGCTTCGTCTGGCGGCTACGCACTAATGGCCGCGTCTGAACTTAGCCAGCTGCGGGTCGAAGGCCAGCTCACCCTTCTCGGCGGCCCCGGCGGCGCTGGCGATCAAGAGCAGCAGCAGCCCGGCGGCGACGGCGGCTTCGCCTACATCTCGTCCGCGTCCGACAGCACGATCACCATCACCGATGCGCTCCTCCGCGGCGGCGCGGCGGGCCTGGGCGCCAACGCGGCCCTGGACGGCGCCCGCGGCATGGTACAGCTGGGCATCAACGCCGCGCGGGTCGACCAGTACGGCGCCCTGGTCCTGCGGCCCGGCGACGTGCGCAGCCGGGCGCCGGTGGCCGGCCTCGACGCCTCCATCGGTGTGACCTGGGGCGGCGAGTACACGGTGTTCCCATGCAACGGCGCTGGAATCGAGTTCCCTGGCAACAGCTCGTCGGCCGCGTTCCCGGTGACCAACCGGGGCGTGTTCCGTGACTGCCGCGGCGCGGGTGCGGCGACGGCCTACCCGCAGCCGACGGTCGACAGCTACAGCGACGCGTCGTGCGCGCCCTGCACGTGCTCGGCCGTGTCGGGCGGTTCGTGTCCGCTGACGCCCGCGCCGCCCACTCCCTCCTCGGCCGGCCGCTTGTCAGCCACGTGGTGGTCCTCTCTCGTAGCCATGCACCAGAGCTAAATCGCATTAAACACTCTTGCATCTGTACCGCATACGACCGCACACGCACGCGCACACGACCGCGCACGCACGCGCACATGCACAGCTGGAGACGCAGGGGATGGTGTAAGTGGTTCTGTGGGCCAGCTGAGTGTATACAAAGAAGACAAAAAAAGAGGAAGGCCATCATCAAGTGCTGGAGCCGGAAAGGCCCAGCTCCACGACTGTGGGCAGGAACGCGATGATGTCCAGGTTGTTGCACTTCAACTGGAAGATGTTGGCTGTGTGTGTGATGTCACGCAGAAAGCACACACGCAAGAGGTTAAGAGGTGAGCAACGTTGTGTTTGAGAAACACTCATTAGACCGTCGTGGACAGATTGCAGCGACGTGAATGAATGACGGGCGGGCCGCGTACATCCGATCTGGAAGCGAAGCGAATCGAGGCCACGGAGGAACTTCTTCACGTTGGCGTAGGACGACCGCAGGACCGCGTCGGCCTCGTCCTTTTTCGAGAGCCCGCTGCGCAGCAGTCCGGCCACCAGTACCTTGGCTGGGGCGTTACGACGGATGGGCGGCCGAGGTGAATGTCGTTAGTTTGAAGGCGGCGGAGGTGGCGGCGGCTGTGTGTGGGCTGAGTACCGGTGGGCCAGCCTCGCAGGTCGGCGACAGGTGCATCGGAGAAGGCCTGGCGGAACAAGTCGCCCACATCATCGAACCGCAAGTTGAGGTCAACATCGCTGATGAGAGAACACACACACACACACACACACACACACACACAACCGCGCGCAACACACGCGACACACGCTTGGTTAGCGAACGCGAGTGGGTGCAATCTCCCGACTCAAGTAGTTCGTCGGTACCGGAGGGCAGAGAACAGGGCGATGAGATCCGAACGCTGTCCGTTCGGCCTCTGCTCCTCGCCGTCGGACATGATGGCCCGCACGAAGTCTGGGACCAGTTACAGTGATAGTAGCAGAGGGGGAGGGGGGCTATCAGACCACAGCTTCCGACAGTGCAGCAGCGCAACAAAACACGGAAGAAAAACTGAATAGCAAGAGGCGGGGCGCACCAACGGCGGAGCGGTGAACGAGGGCCGAAAGGGAGGCGCGAGCGCGAATGAATTCGCTGGACGCCTCGTCGAGGGGCGCCTCCGACAGCTCCAGCTGCGCGTCCAGCCGCTGAATCTGGAAACCCGTCAAGATCCCTTTTAATTCGACATGCACGACACGCACATGACGCGCACACGACACGCACACGACACGCGCGATAGCACGTGGGTCAGTCAGGCAAAGCAAGGAGTAGATAGGACGAGGAGTGCCTGCCTGTGACATACTCCAGGCTGGAGTTGTGCTCGAAGATGAGGGTGATCTTGAACGTGCGCTCGCCGTTCTCGCGGACCACCTGAATCTTGAAATCCGCGCAGTGGTAGTTGTGCTTCGTCATCAGCAGGATGTTCCTCAGGTTGCCCGCCAGCTCGCCCAACTCAAAGTCTGTGAGCACCTCAGAGTGATCAGCAAACGAGTAATAATAAAATATATATAAATATAATAGTAATAAGAATATAATAAAATATTGTACAAAAAAAGGATAAATACAGGTACCATCAACGCCTTCCTTGATGGTGAGATAGAGCGAGACAAGCGCTCCTTTGTCTTTGGCCTGGTACTGCTTGCGATACTCTGTGGAGAGTGCAAAGACCCGCCCGACGATAAGACAGTAAGTTGGTGGGTTTGGATTAGACCATATGAACCGGCTCCCATGCGTGCGGGGCTGCACAGTCTTCTGATCAGGCGGGCGGCGTACGTCGGGCGTCGTCAGGCGAAAACGCGTAGCTGAGAACAGCCCCGCACGCCGCTGTCTCGAAAGGACCCACCTGCGCCTGCATTCGCCACACAGCCGAGTGAGACTTGCTTGATTCATATCCCAGATCTCGCCTGGGCGCCAACAGGCCTACTCACGATCGCGGCGCACCTTGACGTCGATCTTACACAGTTCGTCGGCTTCCGCGTCCGCAGGGCCTTCCACCCCTCTGTCCTTCGCCTTGCCCTTGTCTGATGGTTGGTTGGTTTGGTTGGTTTGGTCTACGGAGAGAGGTCAAGAGCCGAGTTGAGAGCCAACGAACCGGTGGTTGTCTGGACTTGCGGCGGAGGCGCTTGGCTGGCCTTCTCCACCAGCCGAAACACCGTACGCATGTAGTGCTTCGACCTGCGCTCCCAATCTTAGAAGTAATGCGCGTGCGTGCGTGCGTGCGTGCGTGCGTGCGTGCGTGCGTGCGTGCGTGCGACACCTCAGCTTGGCGCGAAGTGCTGCGAGAGTCGGATGATGAGGAGAGGACGCAGGGGTGGGAGAGGCGGGTGGCTGCTCGTCGGGCGCCGACCACCACCCGTAGAAGTGGTCAAACGTCCAGCCTTCGCCCGCTGGCCATCCTTCACCACCCACCTCCTCACCTGTGCGCGTATGTACACCAGTCAGTGCATATTATATTCATATTTGTTAAATAGAATAAAGATATATATATAGAGTTGGTTTAGAGCGTACCAAGGTGGGCAGCGAGCTGGCGCAGCTCTGGCTCGTCGAGGAGACCGTCTTGGTCGGCGTCAAACAGTTCGAATATACGGCGGGCCTCTACATAAATATATAGACATATCAAATAAATAAATAAACAATATAATTATTACACAAATAATATTAGGGGCTACCCACGTAAATCAAGAAATAAATCATTTATAAATGAAGAAATAAACTCTAAAATCAGCACCTTGTTCATCTGCCAATGGCGCACTCGAATTCGTGGGCGACTCGAAGGCTGCAAGGGCACGGGTCAGTAGGGCCACCTCCTCTTTCAGCCTGGCGTTCTCCCTCTCCAGTTCTCCTGTGGTCTCCATCTCGTCTCTCTTCCTCTTGCTTGCGCCACTGGCAATTTCAATCTTGTCTTTTCTGGTGACTTTTTTGTTTCGGCGAATCCCTCAACTCTCTGCGCGCGTAGGGCAATCAGCCACGCCCTCCTTCTTCAAGCTCGAATGCTTCCTTCTTCAACTGTACATAAGTCGACCACTACACTTCCACATAAGCCATAGACCTGGGAATCCCTGCCGACGGCACACCTCCATCAGGCTAGGTGTCCTCATCTTGCTGGCGGGGGTGGTCTTCTTGCTGATCTTGAGATGGAGCCTCAGCAGGCCCGCGTCTAGCTCCGTCCGCGCAGACTTGGGCTCGACCGGGACAGGCAGCGGTATCTGTCGAGGCAATGCCTGAGCTCCTCACGGATCCGCCATCACCACGATCCAATGGCGGCCGTGTGGTACCTTGCGGTAGAAGCGGCCAAAGTTGCGTTCCTTCTGGAAGTAGACGCCGTGCTCTTCTTCGCCCGTTTGCGGCTTGAGAGCGGCGATGACCAGCACATTGTCCTTCAAGGTGAGGCTGATGTCCTCTCTGAGACGAAAGTGCTTTTAGATTAAACCTTCATCTTCCCTTCCACACGCTCGTAGAAGTAGACGTAGAGCGCGAGGGAGAGTACTGTACTTGGGAATAGAGGGCAGCTCGATCTCCACCCTCAGGTGGTCTTGGTCCTCCTGGAAGATGTCACATCTACGCATGCGTTGCACGAGGTGAGACGAAAGCACAGCGGCAACACTTCTGCGGGAGGGGGACCACGCAGCACCTCGGCCGCCACATCTTGTCGTGGTCGATGTTGGGGTTGGCCCTCACACGCTCCATGTCGGGCAGCTTGCCCCACCTCTGCCTCTCCATCCGCTCTGCCGCCTCTACTCACGTAAAACACAAATATAGTCTTACTCAACCCTCTTCATCTTACGCGCTACGCGCTTGAAGAAGAGGAGCTTTGTGGGGGGGGGCTACCTGGTGGCGACAGAGGGGTCTGGGCACCGAAGGCGGCCCCCCAGCCTCCGCCCCATCCGCTGCGGAACATGGACCCGGCCTCTCGCTTGCGCCCTACGCGCCGGCCGCCCTCGCCTCGCTGCAGATCAATCTTCCACGCGCAGCCATCGCCCCCTCCTGCGGCGGGTGGTGGCTCGTCGGGCGCCATCGATGCGTAGGACGCCGTCATTCCTTGCTCGCTCGCCATCTGGCCCCCCGAAGAAGAGCCCACACTGCCATCCGAGTGTCTACGCCACCAGGCCATGCTCTGTCGAGTGAACAACAAGAAGGCCCAGGAATGAGGTGAGTAGTTTGGTGCGAGTGCGTGGCAGGTGTGGTGCCTCTCTTACAGTGCGGTTGGATCAAGCTGGTCGATGGCCGATGATGGTCGGCGGTGTCTCGTGGTGGCCCCTCCTGCGAATTCCGCGGACAAATTCGTGTGGCGCTTTGCTCGTGACCCGGGATTGGACATTCCGTTATACTTTTCGCAGTTGGTTGGTCCACGTCGATGACGTGACGTCAGCCTGGAGTTTCAAAGGGCTGAAGAGCAGGGGAAGAACACCGCCGAGTTCGTCTACACCGGGACCAGGTTGCACGCGAGAACGAAGCCAGCTCCCACTCAACACCCTTGTTTCACATTTTTAACTTTCCCTTCAAACGTTGCGAAACGACAACCAACTACAGGACCAAATGTCGTGGCCATAGTTTCGGCTGCATTTCGGTCAGCCACAGACCATCGAGAGGCATCCCTTTATGGGTACAGGATAGAGTAAGGAAGGGCGGTGTCCGTCCTTTCTTCACAACACCTCAGCTCCTCCTACCAGCACACACACTCAACATCAGCCAAGATCACTAGAGATGAAGGGACTGCTCGCTATCGTACTGCTCGGCCTCCTCGCCTTCTCCATGGCGCAAGATTGTACGGCCGCACACACGCAATGACACACAGGCAACTCACCTGACTCAAATGACTCCTATTACACAGCCACCACCGTTACTGTGCAGAAGCAGACCGCGCCGGTGGCCGTGGTGGCGTCTCAGGTGCGTACACTGAGTTCCGTGGTTGGTTGGGCATTCAGTCACACTGACGCTTCTCATTGTTGTTGGTTTGTGTTCAAAATTCACAGGCAGCCCAGCAGGCGGTGACCTTCTATCCCGTCATCACCACTTCGTCGGCCTGCTCCATTCACCCATTCTGGATGCTATGATGCATTGTCCCAGCTTGAGCATCACCACCAACCACCAAGCTCTCCGCCATGCTGACCTGATTTTTCGAGTCATTTAGATAAAACTTGCTGTTTCTTGCAAACGACCTCGTCTCAATGGTGAGTATGATCACTTTGAGGTGGTGCTGATGCGCCCACTGGGTTGCCCATGGGCGCCGCATAACAAAGGGATGTGGTGTGGCTGTGTAGAGAGCAGGGGACAGTTTTGAAAGTCGCAGCGCTCCTGAGTGGGGAAGGGTGGTAGACCTTCATCACAGCTGTTCAGACAAAATAAGTAAACCATTAGATGGCATCACATACCCACTCACACATTACAAACTTGGATTTGCTGAGGAGAGGCACCCCACCAGCCAGGGTGAAGATGGTCTCAAGTGCCTCAAAGCAGGCAGGGGTATCAAACATTGGAATTGGGAGAGTGAAATTTTGGATGGCAGCTGAAAAATCAGACACCAGCCAAAGCAGAGGTGAAATTGGAGCACCCACAATCACCTTGCCTTTACTTTCATTCCCTCCATCAATTCCATATTAATCAGTGGCCAACAGGCCACTTTCACATCTAGTTCATGGTCAACCTCACACCATATTCAGTCAGTTGCACACATGGACTGAACTTAATTCTGCCCTTTTGTGCTGAATTGGAGCACTATTCCTGAAGATAAAATTCCACCACAACAAAGCTCCATCTCACACTGATAAAATGTTGTCTGGCCAAATGGCTACAAAATCATCTGCAAAAATGGGCATAAAAATCATCTATCATCTGCATAAAATCATCTGCAAAATGGGTATAAAAATCATCTGTCATCTGCATAAAAATCATCTGTCATCTGCATAAAAAATCATCTGTCATCTGGAAAATGGCTACAAAAATCATCTCTGCAAAATGGTTACAAAATCATCTGTTGTCTGCAAAATGGCTACTAAATCAACTGTCATCTGCAAAAATGGGCATAAAAATCGTCTGTCATCTGCATATGGTTAAAAAATCATCTGTCATCTGCATAAAAATCATCTGTCATCTGCATAAAAATCATCTGTCATCTGCATAAAAACCATCTGTCATCTGGAAAATGGCTACAAAAATCATCTACAAAATCATCTGTTGTTGGTCATAAAAATCATCTGTCATCTGCATAAAAACCATCTGTCATCTGCCAAATGGGCGCATAAAAACCATTTGTCATCTGCAAAAAAACCATCTGTTATCGGCATAAAAATCATTGGCCATCTGCCGCATAAAAATCATCTGTCATCTGCTAAATGGCTACAAAATCATCTGTTGTTGGTCCTAAAAATCATCTGTCATCTGCAAAATGGGGGCACAAAAATCATCTGTCATCTGTCATGCATAAAAATCATCTGTCATCTGCAAAAAATCATCTGTCATCTGCAAAATGGGCGTATAAAAATTATATGTCATCTGCATAAAATCATCTGCAAAATGGGCATAAAAAATCATCTGTCATCCGCAAAATGGCTACAAAATCATCTGTCATCTGCAAAAAAACCAGCTATCATCTGCTTAAAAACCATCTGTCATCTGCAAAAAAAATCATCTGTCATCTGCAAAAAAACCATCTGCATAAAAACCATCTGTCATCTGTCATCTGGAAAATGGCTACAAAATCAACTGTCATCTGCAATATGGCAACAAAAATCATCTGTCATCTACAACATGGCTACAAAAATCATCTGTAATCTGCAAAATGGTGACAAAATCATCTGTCATCTGCAAAAATGGGCCCATAAAAATCAACTGTCATCTGCAATATGGCTAAAATCATCTGTCATCTGCAAAAAATCATTTGTCATCTGCAAAATGGCTACAAAAATCATCTGTTATCTGCTAAATAGTCACAAAATCATCTATTGTCATTAAAATCATCTGTCATCTGCATCCAAAAATCATCTGTTGTTGGTCATTAAAATCATCTGTCATCTGCAAAAAAACCATCTGCAAAAAAACCATCTGTCATCTGCAGAAAAACCATATGCATAAAAACCATCTGTCATCTGCATAAAAATCATCTGTCATCTGCAAAATGGCTACAAAATCATCTGTTGTTGGTCATAAAAGCATCTGTCATCTGGAAAATGGGCGTAGAAATCATCTGTCATCTGCATAAAAATCATCTGTCATCTGCAATATAGCCACAAAATCATCTGTGAACATATACAAAAAGCCAACTGTCACTCAGTACCCACCCCACCACAATTTGATGAAAACAAAAACAACAAAGTATGCAAAATAACAAAGATACCACAAAAACCTCCCACTGCTGTCGACAGAAAGCCTTGCTCTTGCCCCTGGTGGGGAGCTGATATGGGGGGGTGACTTAGCAGGCAGGGGGGTGGGTGCTTGCTGGCCATGAGTGGTGATGGTGGCTTTGGTCTTCTCGTCTAGCAGGGCAGGCGCAGATCCTCCAGGTTCTGCATGGTGACATAGGGCAGCATGTGGAACGGTGGCGAGGTGGTGTAGAACTTACAACAACAAGCGTTGTCAATCGGTTTCACACACGACACACATGACATGCATGGCGCGCAATGCGCAACACTCACCTCCTGGCCATTGGCCTTGATGACAGAGCCCCCCTGTGGTCCTGCTATGACACAATCCTGTTTTGGGGCTGGTAGGTTGGCGTGGGGGGGGGGTACCAGCGCCGACTGAGTGGTTGGTGTCCCTCTGGCCGACCACCTTCTTGCCCTTGGTGAACAGGTACAACAGGGCGCTGAAACATCAACTGGCCGAGCTGGGCATCCTTGTTGGTGAAGAGGACATGGCTTTGCAATGGGGCAAAGTGTTGGTGAGGTTGCTGTGGTCTAGCTTGCACCCCTCTTTGTTGGTGAATGGGTCTGCATGAGTATATTGAGAAGGTGTGCCATCATGGGCACTGCCACGCCCTTCGCGCGGACAGGTGTTGTGTCTTGTTCGCGCCTTTTATGGTTCTCGAGGGTGCCGCGCATTCCTGAGTGCAGGAAAAGGAAATGCATTCTTGCCGACGTTGGTTTCCGCGGAATTCCTAATGCGCCTTCTTGTGGTCGCCGTCGAAGAGGCCGCGCTGCTCCATGTGTCGCACGGCCTTGCGGAGCTTCTTCCTCTGCTGTCGCTTTTGCTCGGTCTTGTCGGGCGACTCGACGGCCACGCCGGCCTTGCGCGCCTTCTTCTTGTCGAACTCGACCAGGAGGTCCTCGTAGCGGCCCTCCTTGAAGTTGCGCAGGGACGGCAGCAGCGACTCGCCGCTGGCCGACTTCTTCTTCATCATCTTCCTCCCCGCAGCAGGCGAGGTCTTCTGCTCCTCTGCGGCTTCGTCGTCTTCATCGTCGACGAGGCCCGCCTTGCGCCGGTCGCTCTTTTGCTTCTCGTTCAGTGCGCTCTTGATGCTCACCTTGAGCTTCATCTTCTCGTACAGCGACAGTCGCTTGTTGTTCTGCATGTACAACGACCAAAGAAAACAAGTGAACATACACGATGACACACGATACACACACCACACACACCACACACACCACACACGGCGGAGTAATGAAGGTACCTCGATGTCTTGGACCTTGCCGACGAGGTCTTTCCTCTTGAGCAGGGTGAGCACGCCCTCCTCGCGCAGTTGCTTCTGCTTCTGCGCCTCCGGATCCTGCGCGATGTCGATGGGCTCGTCCTTCCAGGGACCTGGCCCACACAAGGCACAGTTACAGTCAGTCAGTCTAGACCGACCCACCACCACACCCAACAGCGGCAAAGCAGGGAGTGGGCAGCAGCAGCAGAGCGTTACGTACCAGGCACCTTGCGGATCTCTAGCGACCTGGCATCGAGGAAGGTTTCGATGTCCTTCAGGTAGTGCTGCTCATTGATCTCGCACACCCTTCCGCCCAGCTTGAGGGTGTAGGGCGCGGTGGCGACGAGATTGATGGCTGTGCCAGCGTTCCCTGCTCGGCCCGTACGCCCAGTTCGGTGCACGTAATCCTCTCCTGATAGACAAAGAAAAGTGAGCCAGCAGCGCTACGATGTACGTGCGCGCACGTGCGGTGTTGCGCGTCGTGTGTCGTGCGTGTGGTACGTACCTCGTGGTGGCACGTCAAAGTTGATCACAAACGGCAGATCGGGAATGTCGATTCCTCTGGCCATCACTTCAGTGCTGCACAACAGCTGCACGAGAGGCAATTAGAATTCAAGAAAAAGTAAGTAATACTGTGTTTAAGGGGGCAGACGCACCTGGACTTCCCCATCACGGAACATCTGGATGGCGTTGCGTCGCTGCGTCACAGTGAGACCCTTGTGGATGGGCAGGGCCTTGAACCCGTCCTCCTCGAGCGTCTGTGCGAGCCGCTCGGCTCTTTGCTTCGTGCGACAGAAAATCAACGCCTTTTGGTCCTGTGTGCGCATCCAACGGGATGTTAAGTACGCACACACACGCACACGCACACGCACAACACGCCACCGCACGTGCGCTTCAAGTCTTGAAAAAGACGAACCTTCATGAAAGGACTGCCCTTGCGCTTCAGGAAATAGGTGAGAAGCGCGCGCTTCCGTCGATTGCTTACTGGAAAGACCAAGTGCTTGACTGGATGCAGTAGTAACACGCGGAGTCAGCAACGCAACACACACACACGCATCAACCCAAGCCCAGCGACGGCAGACAGGGGCTGTAGGGTACCCTGCGACGGAGGCTGAAGGTCGACGTTAAGATTGATGAGCTGACTCTTGGGCGAGAATCGAGAGATGACATCCTCGATGCGCGGCGACAGGGTGGCCGAGAAGAGGCACGTTTGCATATCGCCCTTCTTCTTACCTACGCGTACGATCACACTGAGTGATGAGAGATCATCGACCGACAAAGAGACGTGCATGCCGCGTGTGTCGCGTGTCGTGTCGTGTTTATGTGTGTGTCGTGTGTGTGTGGGATATCGGACCTCCGCGAAGGATCTTCTTGGGCTTGGGGAGCAGGCGGTAAAGCTGCTTGATGGCCGGGAAGAAGCCCAACTCGACCATCTTGTCGCACTCGTCGAGGACCAGACTCTCGACGAAGCCGAGGTCCAGCAGCCCGCCCGGTGCGACGGGGGATTGGTACTGCTGCGCGCCGCCGCTGGCACCACCCGGCATCTGGGCGGCCATGTGGTCGGCCCTCATCTTTTGGGCCAGCAGCTGCTCGCGCTTGCTCCTCACCTTGGCGCCCTTGGGAGTGGGCATCACCAACGTGTCGCTTTCCCGAATTTCTTCATCTTCTTCTTCCTCGTCGTCGTCGTCATAGTCCCCGTCGTCCGCCTCGTCTTCCGTGCCTTCATCGTCATCATCCACATCGTCTTCATCGCCCCAACTCTCATCTGTTCAGAGAAAGTGCGTCAGTACGCCGAAGCGAATTAGAGTGTTCATAAGCGAAGATGAAGAAGAAGAAGAAGAGAGTACCATCCTCAACGAACACGGTCTGTTCGGGTTTATCCAGACCGGCTTCGCCCTGCTTGAGATAGTGCAACAGACGACCCGGCGTCGCAACCAATATGTCCACTTCTTCGTCTTCAGCGCCTTAACCTTTTGGAGTGTAAGAGATTTTCGTACGTATTCACGAGAGAGTGAGTGAGCAGTGCCCATTGGTCGTCAGCGCTGAACGCGAGGGAGGTACGGAACTTGGAATTGATTCTCAGCTCCGCCGTAAATCTCGAGAATGTTCAGCGGAGGCGAGAGATGCTGCGCCAACGCGCGCGCCTGTTTAGTGGGGAAAAAGAGAGTCACACGGAACAGGTGGTCAGCTATGAGCCATGGTTGCGTTGCGTTGGTGTGATTGTGTTGTGTGCATGTGCGTGTGTGCGTGTGTGTGTACCTCGGTGACGAGCTGCTCGGCCAGTTCCCGGGTGGGCGTGACGGCAAGCATCAGCGGCTGACCGTTACCCCTCACGATGCCCACTCGCTCATCGTCCTGCTTGCGCTTGTGGACCCTGCAATGCGACAAACGCGAGCTTATCGCGTCAGTTGCCTACACCATGGGTCGGTCCTAAATAGAGCTCGCCACAGCACAGCCACGAGTGTTACCTCTGCAGAAGCGGCAGAGTGAAGGCGCCCGTCTTGCCGGTCCCCGTTTGCGACGAGCACACAACCTAGTGAGGAAGTGACGGCGGTGAGGCACAGTGACACAGTTCAGTGTGGAGAGATGAGCAAGTAAGGTTGCGGCGTACATTGTGGCCGCGAAGGATTAGCTTGATGGCTCGCTGCTGGATGTCGGTTGGAACCTACATGAAGCGCACTGGGTGAGTGAGCTGATCTGTTCGCACACGCACACGCACACGCACAGAAACACACTCTGTGTGTGTGGTGGGTGGGCGCTCACCTGCCAGCCTTTGGCTTCGACGGCCTGGAGGAGAGGAGGGATGAGGCCGAGGTCGGCGAACTTGGGCTGCCGCTTCTTCGACTTCTTCTTCCGCCCCTCCCGGTGCTCCTTCTGCTTCTTCAACAGCTCCTTGCCCTGCGCGTACTTGACCCGAAGCTCGCTGACCGACAACAGCGGCTTCTGGCGGCCGCTGGCGCTGTCCTCGGCGCCGGCGTGTTCGCGCTTGACCTCCTTCTCTTCTACCCTCTGCTTCGCTGCTTTGTTGTTGTTGTTGTTGTTCGATGATCGCTGGCTGCTCGCTCTTGCTCGTTCGCGCAATCGTTGGATCTCGCTCTGCACCTCCTCCCGCTTCTGGCGCACCTCGTTAAGCATGGGATTATGGTCATCATCTTGCGATGGCCGACGCCTGGCTACACGATCCTCGCCTGCCTGCCTCTTTTCGCGACCCGTAGGGGTGCCCAATCGTCGCAATCGGTGCGTCCCCGCCTCCGCCCGGCCTAAAATCTTGGCCGATGTGAGAAATGGGCTCGAAATCGCGAGATGAAGCCGTGATGGAATTCCCAACAGCGACGCAGTAGGTCCACCGCGGAATCCTCCCCATGAAGGCGCTGGCAGTATCAACCCTCCTCCTCTTGGCACAACGTGCCCACCGATACGCAGCATCCTGTCCTTCGATCTTGCAAAAAAAAGAAAAGAAAAGAATAACCTGTGCCGCAGCAGTTCTAAGAACCCAACAAGCAGTGGCACAATCAACGGTTCTGCTCCATTAGAAGCAGCCAAAGATGCAACGTTACAAGCTGGTGTGCTTAGCGAGTTGGAGAACCACCTTTACATCCACAACTCACGATCTTTATTCTTGATCTTTTACAAAGACGCTGCAGTACAACGGGGCGCCATACAGTGGGTGGGCAACACGCCAGCAGGCTCTTCTTCCTTCCGTCTGCTCTGTTATCGAGGTACTGCATATCGCATGCGCGATGGCACTTGCTCGGTGACGTGGTGCCGACCATCACCACCTTCATCAGGACGCGATCGGCAAGCTCTGTGGTGCCCGCTTTTCCCTTGGTGTAGCCTCGCAGACGGACAGGGTGAGTACCGCCACGTTGCTAACGACAACCGCTGTCCAGCTTTACACCGCGCGCAATCACCAACCCACCCCGCGCAGGGCGTCCACGCCTTGGCCAACGTCGCCCAGGTTGACATTCTGCGATCGATCAACAAGAAGAAGAAGCCACCAGCAGCAGGTACCGAGTTCTTTGTTGTGCGCCACAAGGCTGCACCTGCGCCTGACTTGTTCTTCTTTTTGCTTGCTTGACGCAAAGGAGACGAGAAGGCTCCTCCATTCCTCGAGTTTGAGCTCCAGAATGGGCTGAACTACCACCTCAAAGGTTTTCCAAACTTGTTTTGGCCTGAGCCCTGAGCCTTCTGCCTTCTCACTTGTCTCGTCACTGCGCTTGCAGAGCATCCGATTGTGGTGACCCGAGTGGATCTGGTGGATCAGGAGTGGGACGCCCGCTCATCTGCGGTGGGCAGGTCGTATCTCTATCGGCTCGTGACCGGCGGCGACACTCGCACCTCGCTTGTGTTCGAAAGAGACACCAGGTCGCAATCCCTTCCTTTCTTGCGAGTCTGTGTGTCTTTGTGTGCGTCATGAGTCTTAACCGTTACTTCTCACAGTTGGCACTGCCGAGGTTCTTTGGACTTGGAGGCAATGCAGGTACAACTCTAGCTGTACCCCCCTCTTCTGTGTTCCCCCGCACTCACTTTGCTCCCCAGCGGGTTTGTAGAGTGTTTCAGGGGACGCACGACTTCTCATGCTTCGGCAAGAACGGCGACACGGTACTGTGCGGAGGCCCAGTTACCAAAGCACGCTTGCCAAGTGCTGCGTCGGCCTGAAACTCACACTGTGTGTGCGCTGCAGTACACCAAGGTGCCCATGCGAACGATTGATTTAGCCGACGTGGTAGAAGTCCCAGCTTCCGCCTACGCGAACCCAAGGTATTCCTCACCAGCATTCTAGGTCAGTATCTTGATTTGTATCTCGCCCAAACGCTGACTCTGTGGCTTGCCTTCACCATCAAGTGACCAGTACCGTTTCTACCATGTCTCCATCAAGTCCCGCGCTTTCATGTACCACCAGGTGCGCATCTCCTTCGTACAACCAGTCGCGCACAGCTTCACGCCACATGTCAGTTGCACGGTAATCTCACGACTCGAAACACAATCAACTCGGTCAGGTGCGGTACATGGTGGGTGCCCTCGTGAGGGTGGGCCAGGGCGAGTGGAACGAGGCCGACATTCGGCGCATGCTCGAGGTGGACCCGCAGCGGACGCCCTTCCCGCCGGCCAACCTCCTGGCGCCCGCGCATGGACTCTTCCTTCGCGGTGTGGACTACGGCGGCGCAGACACAGCTGTGGCCCGCCAATATGTACGCACCAGCGACTCATAATGGCACAGCGTAGCTGCAGACTTGGCTCGGTCGTAGTTGTGGGCCACTTCACCTTACCGGAGCCGTTGGTTCTTTGGAATGTGTGGAGTGGAATAGTGGACGATCAGATTCCTCATTCTCAGGCAGTTTCCCCGCAGTGGTGGCCAACCATTCCGACGAGTCCCGGGACTGATCTTGGCCTCAACCAATGGCGACGAGCAGAACTCTGGTATAAAACGGACCAGTGGAATCGCGGTAGCAGGAACAAGCCACAGCTGCCCGCAACAGATAAGTAGTCTCAAGACCCACAAACATGCAGCTCGACCTGCACACAGGACCCGAAGAGGACTTTGACATCACCAGCCCGCGCCAGCCGCTCACCCTGGTCTGCGTGGACGGGAGCGAGGAAAGCGACCGCGCCCTGCGCTGGGCCATGCGCAACCTGCCCGACAAGCACGGGTTGATGCTCATCCACGGGGTGAAGATACCCTACAGCGCCTGTACGTGCACAGGGGCGGGATCGAAGCTCATTGGCACACACCCCCCCAATCCAAACCACTGACGACCCGCACTCTCTCTCTCTCTCTCTTGCAGCTCTGGAGATTCATCCGCACAAGGCGGAGGACATGAGGGAGCACGACCGGTTGGTCCAGCGGTACAGGCGTATCTGCCAAGAGAACGGGGTACGACGCGCAGTCCCTCCGCCCCCACCCCTTCCCCGAGCATCGTCGGTGCAGTGTCCAACTAAGCTGGGTCGGGTCGGCAGAGGCGCTGCGGAATGGCCCACTTCCACTATCAGAGAGGTGACGCGTTCGGCGATGGCGTATGCTCCTACGCTCGGTACGGAATGGCCATCTTCTTCCTTCGCAGTGCGATCCGCTTATCTCTCCGTGTCGTGTGTGCCACAGGCTGCGGGGAGCCCAGGCCGTCGTCACCGGCCGCCGCACCAACATCTCGAACGCCAGAAGGTGAGACGTCCCCCCCCCCATGTGCGCACGTCGAACGCAAACCACCTGGAAATCGCACGCGCGTTCAACATTACTTCATCAGGGCGGTGTTCGGATCGGGTTCCCAGTATGTGCTGCAGCACTGCGAGGATATCCCCGTGACTGTGGTCAGCACAGAGGAGCAGAGCGATTGATGGAGCCTCGCCCTTGAGAAAAAAGAACAATAAACAGCTAAAATCCAGGCGAATGTCTTTTCGCTCTGCCCTCACCCGGAAATTTCATGGCCATACGGGGGGCGAAAGGCGAATCGAAAGGGTGCGGGTGGGCCACAACCTTGGCCAGAGGCGAGAGGATGGAGCTGTCGGAGGAGGTAGTGGCGCAACTGTTAGCAGACCAGCACCACGATCATCAAGAATCGATCGAACAGGAGAAAGAGCAAGAGCATCTTAGAGAGTGCGCCCCCTCCCCAAAGAACACAATACTGAATTGATTCTGAAGCGTTGTAGGGAATCTGGGCAGAGATGAAGCGGAAGACGAAGGGTCGGCAGCCAAGAAGAGGAGATTAGATGAGGAACTGGCCGGCATAGGTGGTGTTTCACTGGACGGGGCAGGCACCTACCTCACTACACCCGAGAACCTGCTCACCACCTGGCGATGGCACAAGCGAGGCGGCGCTAAGTCACTCACCTCCGGCGTCCAGCGTCAGTACTACAACTGCAACCAGCACAAGGTCACCGGCTGCGGAGCACGGTACGACACGACACGACACGACACACATACGACACGACGTCTGATGATGTTTGTATGTGAGTAAAGGTACTTCGTTGACACAAATCAGCAAAAGGAGTTGAGCGAGCCGCATATCGAGGTACCTGAACACAACCACCCGCCACCGAGTCGGCCTAGAGGCCAGCAACAGCAGTCGCGCAAGTCACTATCGACCCCCAGGGTGCGCAGTCATCGCTTGCGAGCCAACGAGAGCCTTGGAAGTAACACACACACCACTACAGAGCACCAAAAAGATGCGCTGTGCTCAGATCGTTCAGCCGAATGAGCCGCTACACGTGAGCGAGGTGGACCTGCCGAGCGTGCGCGGTCATCAGGTGCTGGTGAAGGTGGCCGCCGCCGGCGTCTGTCACACCGGTTACTCCCCGCGCCGCTGCTCTTTGGTTCAATTCCGCATCGCTCTCAGCTGTACAGCACGACACGAACACGTATAGATCTGCACTTGTGGGACGATGGCTATGACCTGGGAGGCGACAAAGGCCTCTGGCGATTCTCGGCCCGCGGACTGCCATTCCCGCTCACCCCCGGGCACGAAGTATCAGGTTCGGCCACCTACTGTGTATTTGTGTTGCGTGTGCGCTGCATCCGCGTTAGCTCGTGCGTGCGATTCAATCCTTAATTTCGAGCCACGCACGCATGACTTTATCACTAGGCACGGTCCAAGCAGTGGGCAAGGACGTGGAGACGCTAAGGGTCGGCACGCGCGTCGTCGTATTTCCCTGGATCGGGTGTGGTCAGTGTTCCCGCTGCAAGCAGGGCCACGACAACTTTTGCGATGGTGCACCGCCCTTCCCCACCCACTCTCTTCCCACGCACGCTCTCCGGCGTACACGCTCACCCGGCTGCCGATTCCTGCGCGTCTCAGGTGTTACGCGGGAGATTGGCTTCTCACTCGGTGGCGGCTATGCCGAATCCGTGATGGTGCCACACGAACGGTGCGTGTCCACTGTTGCGTGTACGTCCGTGTGTGGTGTCGTGTTATGTGCGCTTATGTATGCTTCCACATAATCGCAGATACGTCGTGCCGCTCCCTAGCGGGCTGGACCTAGAGACGGCGTGTCTGCTGCCATGCTCGGGGCTGACCGCCTACTCCGCCATCAAGAAGACCAAGACTGGCCCCAACGATTTCCTGGTGATCATCGGTGTGTCGCTTTTTCACTATTTTCATTATTTTAGATTGATTCTTATTTTATTCGATTTTTCACCGACCACACAGGGATGGGTGGCGTGGGGCTGATGGCTCTCAAGCTGGCCCGCGTACGCTTGCTGTCGACGATCATATGCCTCGACATCGACGACACGAAGCTCAACATGGCCCGTGCCGAAGGCGCCCACTACACATTCAACACACTGGTGCGGGTCCGGACACCACAATGTCCACTGACTGCTGACTGACACCTGCCGGATCTGTTTTCGTACAGCGAGTGGCCGACATCAAGGCCGAGATTCTCAATCTCACCGGCGGACACGGGGCCGAGTGCGTGATTGGTACGTTCCTGTGTCGTGTGCGTGCGTGTGTGCGTCGAGCGTGTAGGGCGTGTAGAGAGTGCTGTGCAGGGCTGACACTCACTTCCATAATTTACCTAACAGACTTTGTGGGCAGCCCCGACACCATGTCCTTGGCGATGGCGCTCCTGCGTAAACACGGCCGGCTGCTCGTTGTCGGACTCTTTGGCGGCGAGGCCCGGCTGCCCATTCCGCTCGTCCCACTGCGCGCCTTTACCATCAAAGGTAGTGCGTGGTAACAGCGTGTGCGTGCGTGTGGGCGTGTGCGCGTTGCCTGACGACAAGACCACACTTGCACGCACGCCAGGCATCCACACAGGCAACTACGCGGACCTTGAGGAGCTGGTGGCTGTCGTCGACAAGGCCAAGGTCAACCTGTTGTCCATCGTGGGTGAGCGCTACCACGGCCTGTCCCAGGCCACCACCGCCCTCACTGCCCTACGACACGGCCAGATCCGAGGGCGCGCCCTGCTCCTCCCCTCCGCCACGCTCCCCCACCATCACCATCTCCACTGAATGTGTCGCTTCGTTCTTTTGGAATTCTTTATTGGAATTATTTATCTTTGTGGGCAAGACCCGCTTTCGCCGGCACAGTCACAACTCCGAGATACGAACGTTATGTTTTTTATTTTTTATTTTGTTTTGTGTTTTTCAAAGGAACGAAGGCGCGAAGACGACGCAACGCGCGTAGCAGAGGGGAAAAGGTAGAAAAATATTCGTTTTTTGAACGAGAAACGCAGAGGTAGAGGGCTTCTTTGCCGAGGGGGCGTGAGGAAGCGAATTGAACACTCATAGGATCAAGATGGAGGCCCCACCGAACGAGCTGGGGCGCAAGAAGATAAAGAAAATAATTTTTGACGACGATGAAGAGGACGATGATGATATCATGGACGAAACGGTCGAGGTGGTGACGGCGTACGACAGCGAGGGCAGCGATCACGCCATGGCGATGTCGAACGGCGATGTACATACAACCAGGGCTGGCAACGGGACCAACCTAGGCGTGCTACGCTCGAGTGAGTCCGTTCTGGACGATTCCTCATCAGATTCTGATGGCGATCTCAGCAGCGAGAGCGAGAGCGACGATCGTTCAGACAGCGAGAGTTCCAAGGAAGGCAGCGACGACTACCAGGGCACGGGTGCGGCGCAGCCCCAGAAGGCCCCTCCCCCTCCTAGCCGAGAGGACGAAGACTTCCAAGAGCCTTTGGACGAGGTAAATCGCTCCCCCCAATTCGAATTGCATCTGTGCTCGATTTGATCCCACCCAGGAAAGCCGTTCTCTGTCAACCGTGGTGGCCCCATGCTCCTTCTACCACGGACAAGCGCGAAATTTTTTGGAGCAATTCGATTAATTTGATCAAATTATAAGGTTTTCGCTTGGAGAGGATGAGGGTTGCCTGCGTGCGCCTTAATGTGGGCATCTCAATGCACTTCGGCAGCATCTCTTGACTCTCGGTTTTGGGGCTGCAATCTTTTGATTATGCTGAATTGCACGATTCTAAAGTCTCTTCTCATCTAATCAAGGACGAGCCATCTGTGGACGATGATGACTACGACGAGGAGCCCATCATCAGGAAGAAACGGCGAACTGCCGCACCCGCGGCATCTTCCAGATCGGCTTCTAGATCAGTTGATATGAAGAGCATCCAGCTAGGCCTGCGAGAGAGGCGAAGGGTGAACTACGCCGAAGAGGAGATCAAGGAAGACTCAGACTCAGATTTCGGTGCCGAAGACGATGACGAGGCGGAAGAGGAAGATGAGGATGACAATGAGCGGCACACGATCGGTGGCAAAACTACGCCCGCGCGTAGTGGCCCACCTGCCAGATCCAGGAGCGCGCCGAAGCCGGCGACTACTCCATCTTCCTCGTCACGTGGTACGCTCGAACTTGATCCTCTTGCCCCCCCCCACGCACTTTCTACTCTGCTCTCGCATGTTCAAGCTTGGCTAACGTGATTTCTGAGCAACAGCCTCAAAATCGGATGAGATTATCCCAACACGCTTTAGTGCTCGTCAGGAACGTAGGACCCAGGTCAACTACGCGGTGCGTGCCTTCTTCTCTTTGTCTACCACAGCACGAGTGGACTTCACCGTTCATCGTTCTCTTTATTCTGACCGAACACCAGGAGTCTGAAGGCGAAGGCGAAGAGGAGGAGGAAGAGGAAGGAGGAATGTCGGATGAAGACGACGAAGAAGGTGGCCACCACAAAGGAGACACCACAAAGTCGCTTTTTGAAGAGCCCAAGGTAAGCGTTCACTACCAGCCGGGGTCCCTTCACGTCAATGTGAATAGTGACTAAGTCGTTTTTATTTCCTTGTGCACGAGCAGCAAGTGATCGACAAGATCTTGTGCCACAAGGAAGTGACGGAAGACGGCCAGACAGTGACAAAATACCTCATCAAGTGGAAGGCACGTACCACTATTACTACTGAACGCCCATTACACCTATGCATATGTGCATACACACTATTCCCCCCTGTTTACACTGATGGCCTTGCTTGATGTTATGACCAACAGGGTCAATCATTCCTGCATGTCGAATGGCTGCTGGAGTCGGACATCTTGGCCGAGCGGTTCGGCAAGACCAAGCTCGCTCGCTACTACCGAAATCCGCCGCTGGTGTATGATGAAGACAAGCCTTTCAACCCCGACTTCGTGCAAGTCGACAGGATTCTCGACGAGACGGTGGAGACGGATGAAGACGGCAACGAGGTGACCAAATACCTGGTGAAGTGGGAATCGACGCCCTACAACGAAAGCACATGGGAGCTCTCCACCGACATCAACGTAATATGGCCATGCCCTCACCCCCTCCCCCAATCACTCTCCTCCAAGTGCTTACGCTCTCTTCTGGTCGTGCACGACAGGACGACGAGAAGATCGCGCAGTTCAAGCGCACCAACCAGTTGCCGCCCGCATCAAAGGGTCTGCCAGAGCGCCCCGATGCCGAGGAGTGGCGAGAGTATACAGAGTCGCCCGAGTACTACTCTCTTCCCACTCTTAGGCCTTGCCCCAGGCCGGTCTCCCTTCACCCCAAAAGAGGCAGTCAATGCTAACCGCGATGCCTCTGCGTGCGTGGCCTCCCAACCACAAGGTTCAAAGATGGCAACAGGCTCCGCGCCTATCAGCTGGAGGGCCTTAACTGGCTCGTGTTCAATTGGTATCAGCGCCGCAACAGCATTCTCGCCGACGAAATGGGTCTTGGTACATAGCGCCGCCCGATGCCTCCTCCTCACGTGTGGCGATGCACCACGATCTGGCTAATTTTTATTTATTTATTTATTTCCCACCAAAGGCAAAACGGTGCAGAGCATCTCCACTATGTGGCATCTGTTCACCGTTGAGAAGATCCGCGGACCCTTCTTGGTCATCGCGCCCTTGTCCACCATCGGCCACTGGAAGCGTGAAGTCGAAAACTGGACCGGTAAGCACCGCGTGCCAAGCCTTGCTGCTGCTGCAAATGCTAATGCTATCAACTCTGGTCCCCTCTTCCGCTCCACTGCAGATATGAACGTCATCGTCTACCACGGCTCATCGGCAGCACGCGAAGTCATTCGCAAATACGAATGGAACTATCTGGACGCCAAGGTATCACGTGGCCCCACAATGGAAGCGTTCAATTGCACTGATCAGCGTCTTCTTCTTCTTCTTCAACACCGTCATGACCAACCATGCCAATCCATTGCAGGGCCGTGCCATTCCCGGCCTGTTCAAGTGGAACGTGCTGGTGACCACCTACGAAATGATTCTTGCGGACAGCGCACTGCTGAAAACTATCGATTGGCGCTACACCGTCATCGACGAGGCCCACAGGCTCAAGAACAAGGTGCCCTTTCACTCCCAGCGCCCATGTATTCAAGTGGTGGCTGACCTTTCATGTCAATACTTCGCCACCCTCGCTGCGAGTACAGAACAGCAAGCTGCTGATCGAGCTGCAGACCTACAGCTTCTCGGACATTCTACTGTTGACGGGCACGCCGCTCCAAAACAACACTGAGGAGCTGTGGTCGCTCCTCAACTTCCTCGATCCCGAAAAGTTCCAGTACGGCCCCGCAACTATATATTCCCTCCTGCCCATATGCTCTGAATAATCAACAACGATCATCTCACGTGCTTGGTGTCCTTGCGTGTTGTGTGTGTGTGTGTGTCGTGTGTCGTTGCGTACTTCTAGTTCTTCGGAAGATTTTATGACGGACTTCGGAGACTTGAAACAGACACAGCAAGTGCAAGGGCTGCACGACCTGCTCAAGCCCCACCTGGTAACACGCACACGCACACACACGCGCACACACACACGCACACACACACGCTCTCCCTCCCTCTCTCTCTCTCTCTCTCTCTCTCTCTCGCCACTCGCACCGCATTGAATTACATTGCAACTGTTCGTGCCGTCGAACTGGCGTGTGTTGACCGTTCCCTCGCGTACAATGCAGCTTCGACGAATGAAAGAGCATGTGGAGAAGAGTATCGCGCCCAAGGAAGAAACCATCGTGGAGGTGGAACTTACCGTCACGCAGAAGAAGTACTATAAGGCCATCTACGAAAAGGTACCAAACGCGCCGTGTGTGTGGGTGGTGTGTGTGTGTGGTGTGTGTGTGTGGTGTGACATCTCCTGCAGGAGCTAGATCTGACCTCAAAACTTCTTTTACATTTTTAGAACACGGCCTTCCTCACAAAGGGCTGTTCGGGCGGTAACGTGCCTAACATGTTGAACATCATGATGCAGCTCAGGAAGTGTTGCAACGTACGTAGTTGCGCCTTGGCTGGCACCAAGTGCGATTATGCGACTAACATCTTTTATTTCTCTTATCATGGGCGACAACAGCACCCCTACCTCATCAACGGTGTGGAGTCGCAGATCCTCAACGGGCTCTCCGACCCCGAGTCGATCTACCAGATGCTCATCAAGAGTTCGGGCAAGCTCGTGCTGATCGATAAGCTCCTGCCCAAGCTCATCTCGGGCGGCCACAAGGTGTTGATCTTCTCGCAGATGGTGCGCGTGCTCGACATCCTGGAGGACTACCTCAACTTCCGCAAGTTCACCTACGAGCGAATCGACGGCGGCGTCCGCGGCAACGACCGCCAGGCGGCCATCGACCGCTTCTGCAAGAAGGGCTCGGACCGCAACGTCTTCCTGCTCTGTACACGAGCCGGCGGCGTGGGCATCAACTTGACGGCCGCCGATACGGTGATCATCTTCGACAGCGACTGGAACCCTCAGAACGATATCCAGGCCCAGGCCCGATGCCACAGGATCGGCCAGACGCAAATGGTCAAGGTCTACAGGTGCGTGCCCTCTCTCTAAGTTTTTCCCTCTCTTCTTGATCTGACTCACCTCTTGGTCGTCGTCTGCAGGCTGATTACGCGAGGCACCTACGAGCGGCACATGTTCGAGAGGGCGTCGCTCAAGCTTGGACTCGACCAAGCCGTGCTGGGCAAAATGGCCGAGAATAGAGGTACTCGCTCCTCAAATAATAATAATAATAATAATAATAATATTTATGCGCATTTATTATTATTGTAAATCAATGCTGACGATCAATCAAACGCTGCAGAGGATGAGAAGGCGGGCGGTGAGGAGAAGAAGCTGGACAAGAAGGAGATCGACGCGCTGCTCAAGTATGGCGCGTACGACGTGTTCCGCGAGGGACAGGACGAAGGCGAGCAGTACTACGAGGAGGACATCGACAAAATCCTCGAGCGGTCTTCCTTCACCCTCAAGCCCGAGAGTCAAGGTAACGTTGCCTCCTTCGCTTGGCTCGCACTACTTGCGCCGCGCAAGCGACTGACTGCTTGCCCCTCTTTTTCTTTTTCATTCTTCTTTTCATTCTTCTTTTCTTTTTGTTTCAACTCTTCAAGGAGGTGAACCCGGCGGTGCGCTGTCCGCATTCTCGAAGGCCAGTTTCTGCTCGGCCTCGTCGGCGCCCGACGTGGACCTCGACGACCCCGACTTCTGGAAGAAGATTCTGCCCGAGGCTGCACAAAACGTGCCCGATCCCAGCATCCAGACCGGGTCCCGCGTGCGCCGGAAGGTGAAGCGCTTCGGCCAGAAGGGCGGCGGCGGCGTGTCCGACGAGGAGGCCGAGAACGAGGACGACGGGGCCTACAGCGAGCCCGACGATGGCGGTGGCGGCAAGGCCGGCGGGAAGAAGATCAAGGGCCGCGAGTGGTCGAACGCCGAGCGGTCCCGCTTCAAGAGCGCCATCTTCAACTACGGCTACGGCAGGTGGCACGACATCAAGACGCTGGGCAAGCTCACCCGACGGACGCAGACCGAGGTCGAGGGCTACGGCCGCGCGCTGTTACACATGATCTACAACTACGCCAAGGAGGAGGACCCCGACCTCGGCACCGAGGAGGAGGTGCTCAAGAAGATCACCAACGTCTCGCTCAACCCGCCCGCCACCACTACGTCGGACAGCGGCGGCGCGGCTGCGACTGCGGCCGTGGCCGGTGCCGATGAAAGCAGCGCGAGCGCCGCCAAGGACGAGGCCAGCAAGGCCAAGGAGGGCGAAGGCGAGAAGGACGGCGGTGCCGCAGACAAGGAGGCGGCTCCTGCCACCGTCGCCGGAGCTCCGGCGCCGGCGCCGACGCCACAGCCGGCCGAGGCTGCTGCGGCCACCCCGATCCCCGACGACCGGTGGCGAAGCCTGCTCGAGGACACGACCCTCGCCGACGACGACAAGTTCATCGAGTATCTGAAGAGAAACGCCCAGAAGCTGCTCAAGGCCCTCGAGGACCTGGCCAAGCTGGGCCAGCTCATCAAAGCCAACGAGGTATGTTTTTCCCTGTGTGTCGTGTCGTGTCGTGTCGTGTCGTGTGCGGTCTTGTGTCGAGTGGCTTATCGCGTGCGGCCGATGATCACAGGGTTCGGTGGAGCAGCTGCAGAAGCAGGTTCCGACGATGTCGCGGGGGATGATGCCCGATTGGTGGTCCAAGCGCGAAGACGCGAGCTTCCTGCTGGGCGTGTACAAGCACGGCATGGGCCACTACGATGACATCAAGACCGACCCGGCGCTGTGCTTCCATGAGAGATTCCAGGAGGCCGTGCTGTTGGCGGCCTCTGGCGGCGGCGAGGGCGACGATGCGGACGGCGGCTTCGATGTACATAGCGGCAGGCGACGCTCGGCTTCGCGACGCGGCAAGCGCCCCCAGGTCGTCGAGTGGCCGCAGACCAAGACGCTCAACCTGCGCCTCAAGAACCTCCTGCGCGCGCTCGAGGTCTCCTTCCGCAAGAAGCGGCCGGTGCTGGTGGTCGGCGATAAGGGCGGTGGCAAGGGCGACGCCGCGGGCCTCAGGAACGCTGGTGGCCCGACGTTCCAGCTGCAGCACCCCAAGGACGAAGATGTGAGGATGAGCAAGCCCGTCAAGGAATGGTCCAAGCGAGAGAAGCAAGGTAACACACCACACACACGACACACACACACACACACGACACCACACACACGGCGTACAACGTGACTGACCTTTTGGTGATCACATCGCAGACTTTTACAGGGCGCTCATCACGCACGGCGTGCCGTACGACCAGGACGGCGAGTACGACTGGAAGGTCATGCAGCGCAACGCCAACCTCTCGCGCAAGACGCCCGCCATGATCGAGAAGCACTACGTCGAGCTGCTCGAGCGGTGCCGCAGCACCATCCGCCTGTTCAAGAAGATGGAGGGCAAGCCCGGCGGCAAGGGCGCGACCGCCGCCGGTGGTGGCCGCGGCAAGCGGCCCGAGGACGAGGTCATTCTCCGCGAGGACGGCGATGAGATGACCTACGCCCAGGCCATGAAGGTGCTGCAGCGGATCATTCTCTTCTCCAAGATCCGCGGCAAGGCCCTCAAACTCGGCGACGAAGAGCTCCGCTTCCGCCTGGTACGCCGCTGCACCCGCTCGGTCACACTCACCAGAGCCACCGGTCGCTCACCCATAGCCGTGATACTGTGTGTGTGTCGTATGTGCAGAAAAATCTGCGGCTGTTCACTGGGCTGCCCAAGTGGTGGCAGGTGACGACGCACGATATCGCGCTGCTCAAGGGCATCGACAAGCACGGCTACGGCCGGTGGGAGGAGGTGTGCTCCGATCCCGACCTCCCGTTCTTCGCCATCGCCCAGAGCATGCGCGAGCGCGTCGAATCCGAGCGCAAGGGCGAGCACGACGCGGCCAAGACCGACGGGGCACCCCCGTCGACCGACGGCGACAGCGCGCCGGTCAAGCGCGAGAGCCGCGAAGAGGGCGAGATCAGCGATGACAACATGGACGAGGACGAAGTCGAGGACCACGACAACAACGACGAGGGTGCAGAGGATGACAACGACGACAACGACGGCGATGGGATGAACGGCGAGGAGGGCGAGGGCGACAGCAACAGCGGCGGCGAGAAGCAAGCGCGCGGCGTGAAGCGCAAGCGCGGTGGGCTGCTCAACCGTCAGGTGATCGACTTCCCGCGCGAGACGGTCCTCGCCAAGCGGCTCGACTACATCCTCAAGGTGGCCCTCTCGTCGCAGATGCCCGACTTTGTCAAGCGGGAGTCCTCCTCGTCGACCTCCACCTCGATGTCGTCGTCTTCATCGTCGTCTTCATCGTCGTCGTCGCGAGCCGCCGCCGCCGATTCGCGGAAGCAGCAGCAGTCGCTGGACCGGTTCGTCAAGAAGGACCCAGGCAGCAAGGAGAAGGAAAAGGAGAAGGAAAAGAAGAGAAAGAGGGGCGACTCCGACCACGAGGACCACGAGGCCGCTCACTCGTCGTCCACCACCAGGAACGGCGGCAAGTCGTCGTCATCATCATCGACGGCGCAGGCGCGGAAGAAGACCAAGCGATCGCCGTCGCCGGTGCCGGCGCGCGATCACCACGCGAAGGAGCGGCGGGACCACCACGGTGCGAAGGAGCGGGAGAGGGACGACGAGAAGGAGAGCGGCGGCAGCGCCAAGGCCGCGTCGGCGAAGGGCAAGAAGAAGGGCGGCAAGGGCGGCGACAAGACGCCGCGGACCAAGAAGATCGTCGACCTGCCCACCGACGAGCACGGGCGGGTCAAGATGCCCATCAAGATCGCCGGCCTCACAGTTCTCGCACTCGGTACCGTGTCTCATGGCCCTTGCACCTGTGTGTGCGTGTGTGCGTGTGCGTGTCTGTCGCTGTCTGTCGCATATGGCTTTCTAACCGCAATACACACACGCCCTCACAGGCTCCATTCCGAAGGACCGTCCGGAGTTCCACCAGAAGCGGTACATCTGGCCGGTCGGCTTCAAGTCGATGCGGCAGTACTCGAGCTTCGAGGACCCCTCCGTGCGTTGCAACTACATCAGCGAAATTCTCGACGGTCTCCAGACCTCCCAGAAGTTCAACGGTTCGTGTGTTCTCTCTGTGTGTCGGGTCGTGTTGTGTGTGTGCGTGCGTGCGTGCGTGATGGTGCGCCTCTCCACCAAGGTTTTGCTCACTGTTCTCGTGTGCAGGTCCGCTGTTCAAGGTGACGCCCGAGGACGACGAGGACGAGGCCATCGTCGAGAAGTCGGCAACGGCGGCGTGGTCGGCGGTCATTGCCAAGGTCAACAACATGAAGACCGAGGAGACTGGCAAGCGCCAGTTCACCTCCGTCTCCGGCCCCGAGTACTTTGGCTTTGGCGTACCCGCCATCGCCAAGCTCATCCAGGGTAAGATTGTCCCCTTGACCGCCGCAACACACACGACACACGACACACACCACTCAGTACTGGCCGACATGACTAATTTTGGTTTGTGTGCAGAGTTGCCGAACGCTGACAACTGTACAAAATACGAGATGCAGCACTACAGCTCCGCCGGCGGAGCTGCTCCGTCTCCGTCGTCCTCTTCTTCGTCATCCTCGTCTTCTTCATCATCGTCGTCATCCTCGAAGCGCGAGCGCGAGCGCGAGCGCGAGCGGGAGTCTACGCTCCCGTCGTTCAAGTCGCGTGGCGACGACAGCGGTGCCAAGCCGCGGTTCGTGCTGCCCAAGAAGAAGCGGGTCCTTGACTCGTCGTCATCGTCCGCGGCCGGCGGCGAGTCCAAGCGACGCTCGTCGTCCTCGTCCGCGGCCAGCAACGGCGATCGGGACAGCGACGACGAACGCCGGTCCATCAGCCCTCGCGACCGCGACCGCGGCAGCAGCGGCGGCGGCCGGTCGCACAATCGAGACCGCGACTGGGAGCGAGAGCGGGAGAGCAGCAGAGACACCAGCAGGGACCGCGGAGGCGGGAGAGACCGAGGCGAGAGGGACAACAGAGACCGGTACAGCTCATCATCGTCATCGTCGTCTTCGTCATCTTCACATTCGCGAAGCAGCGGCCACCACTCTTCCTCTTCGTCGTCACCGTCGTCTTCGCGACAGCAGCAGCGCACCTCGCCCAGCTCTTCGCGAGGCTTCAAGTAGTTACCCTTACATTCCTCTCTTTTGCACACACCACCTCTACGTTTCGTAATAAATCATCTCATACTTGAACGCCAGCCCGCTCGTGGTACGAGATAAGAGAACAGTGCCTCTCTCTCTCTCTCTGCTCTGAAGCCAGCTAGACCTGCACCTTTGCTTGTCATCTTGGTGAGGATGGTCAGAACCAGCCACACTGGTCCCACCCCCATAAAATTCTTGTGATTCCAAAGAGAACTCGTAGTCAAGGAGACGGCGCCGAGAGGAATGTTTGGAATCACACTCGGCACAGAGCAGGACCCAGTTTCGACTTCCGCTTGCGGGTCAGGGCCGGTTGTTGTTTGGGCGGGAAGCAGGAGTTGAGGTGGAGCGCTGCCGCGACGAAGGAGAAGTGACTGCCCGCAGGTGCAGGCCTCATTTTCTTGTTCGTTCGTCACACGTTCCGTTATTGAACGGCCGATACGCGCGCGTGCGAGTTGGACAAAGCTCCGGACCTCGTTTGGTGCTCCACCACAAGTGCGCCTGCCTTTCCCCCGTTCCTTCTTTCTCGTCTTGTCTCCGCTTCGTCTACAAGTAGATCCCCCCCCCCATTGAGTGGCAGGGATTGTGCTGTTTTGGTGACTTTCGCGAAGCCGGTAACAAGCATTTGCTGATCGATTCGAACACTTGCGCGTGCATTAGGTTAATTGCTTGCCAGTCGATTAGGTTCTCCTCGAGATGGGAGATACCGAGAAGAGGTCGTTCGGCCAGACCAACGTCAAGGGCTATGGCGCTACGTCGGCGCCCTACCATGACATGGAGGACGTCGAGTACAATGACGATCACAGCCGGCATGGCGACGAGGAGAGGGGAATGTCGTCGTCGGGCGATCGCACGCGCAACACCAACTCTGGTACGCGACCGTTCTCGCCTTTGTTTTGCCCACCTGGTGATTGTGGTGTGGGGCTACGAATTTCTCTTTGATTACGATTAAATTGAATTAACACTCATCTCTGCCGATGCAGTTGATGAGTACCGCGGGCGACAGCGGCCAGAGGACGCCGATGGAGAGAATTGGTTCCTCTTCGACAAGGAGGGCAAGCAGATGGGTGTCCTTCCCAACAAGTACAAGAGGGAATTCAGCGATGCCAAGCACAAGGTCACCGGCCTGCCGTGGCATCACATCAAGGTGGCCGTGATTTCGCTGCTGTTCGTGGTGGCGCTCATCATGTTCGCACCCATCGAGTCCCCGGACGAGAGCCCCGTGTCGCACCTTACTGCCGTCTCTCACGACACGGCCTATGTACCTAGACCTCCCATTTACATTTATTGCTTATTTTTTTTTGCTCATGTTTCTTTCCCATCTTCATCTCTGCCCCAAGATCGTGGATCTTCTTCCAAGCCATCCTCTCGACACCATTAAAGTCTTCGTCACGATCCAAGAGCTAGGTACCCAGCCCTCCCCCTTTCTTCATCGCGATCGCCGATTTCATCTGCGAGCTCACGACTGACTTCGGGGTGCTCAGTCAATTCATCCGGGAGCGTGTTTCCAAACCCAACGTACGTGTACTTCACCGTCGAGGGTCTCATTCCCGGCAACGGTGCCAACTCGACCGACCACGATGACGACGACGATGACGACCACCACGCCGTCTCGGGGTATGCAACTGCTCTACTCTCTACTTTCCCAGCCCGATCTGTTCTCTTCTTCGCCTAACGCTCGCCCGTTTCATCATCATCAGCATGAGCGGCGGCTCCAGCACCGAACTCGAGACGCCTCTCTACCCCGACGGCGAGTGGAAGGCTCTTCACTACTGGGAGATTGCCGGTACGAGGGGCCGAGCCACCACCGCTGCGTTGCGTTCCATGGAAGCTCTGCTGGCCGGTGTCGTTGGTCTGACCCTTTGGGGGTCTCGCTTCTTTTGCAGGTGACGCCTTCGATGCGCAGATGGACTCGCACTACTTCTACCTGACGGACGAGGACCGCGGCGACCACTACGCTCTGCGCCTGAACGTCACCTCCAACTCCAAGCAGCCCGTGGGCCTCAAGCTCAAGGTCTTGCAGCTGCGCCACATCGTGCGATATGAGGTCATCCTCGGCCTCGTTCTGCTCGTGCTCGTGTACGTGCTCATCGTCTTCGAGTTGGTGCACCGCACCATCGCCGCCCTGGTCGGTTCCTTCTGGGGCCTGACCTTCTTGGCCGTCATCCAAGAGAGGCCCAGCTTCCTCGAGGTACACCCACCCGCCGCACCACTCAACAGACTCACGATTGCGGCAACTGATCGATTGCTTGTCCCCCCCCCACTGCCGCATAGGTCATCATGTGGATCGATTACGATACGATCGGTCTCCTCTTCGGCATGATGATCCTCGTCGGCATCTTCTCCACCACCGGCTTCTTCGAGTACTCGGCCGTCAAGGCCTACAAGCTGTCCAAGGGCAACATCTGGAACCTGGTCCTCATGCTCTGCATGTTCACCGCCGTCACCTCGGCCTTCCTCGACAACGTGACCACCATCCTGCTCGTGGCGCCCGTCACCCTGCGTCTCTGCAAGGTGATCAACCTGGATCCGCTCCCCGTCATCCTGGCTGAAGTGGTATGTTACCCACAACACACACACACACACACACACACGAGAGCCAAGTCATGAGCTCACTCCCCCCTTTCAATGGCGTCTTGTGCAGATCTTCTCGAACATCGGTGGTACCGCCACTGGTATTGGTGATCCTCCGAATATTCTGATCATTTCCAACGCCAAGATGAGGGCCTCCAAGAAGGTGGACTTTGCCACCTTCACCGTCCACGTTGCTCCCGGTACTTCTAATGCCTCTCTCTCTTCTCCCTCTTCTTCGCTGTCGCATGGTGTATTGGTGGCGCTGACAATGTGTTCGTCCCTCGTTCAGGTGCCGTTCTCGCCTTGATTGTGACTGTCTGGTTCGTGAAGGTCAAGTACGGTAAGATCCTGTCGGAGCGGTCGGCCTTCAACCCGCTCCAGCGTGAGATCGACATCTGGAAGAGGACCGCCGCCCGGATCTCGCCCGTCGAGGGTGACGAGGAGAAGAAGGTGCGCACGGCGCTCGAGGACTACGTGGAGCAGCTCAACGAGAAGCTCGCCCATGGTGCCGTGACCGAGAACAAGGAGATCGACATCACCGAGATGGAGGAGAAGTACAAGATCACCGACATGCCGCTCTTCATCAAGGTTCGACCTAGGCCCCTCCTCCTCCCGCATTCCTCCCTTTTGGTGAGAGCTGGCACTAACCCACTATCATCATCACTACAGACTTGCTCTGTGTTGGCGGTGGTGATTATTCTGTTCTTCATCCACCCGTTCGTCCATGCCATCAACCTGTCGCTCCCCTGGATCGCCCTGACCGGCGCCATGGCCCTCCTGGTACGTCCCACCCACCAAGAACCTTTTTTTTTCGGTTTGGTGCGCCGCCTCTCGTACTCACACGGGGCTGCTGCTGTGTTTATTTTTGCATCGTTCAGGTGCTGTCTGGCATCCATGAGATTCAGGAGATCATTGAGAAGGTGGAAATGGCCACTTTGCTCTTCTTCGCCGGTCTCTTCGTGTTGATGAGGTAACGTGCGCTAGCGCTTATAAGGAAAGCCATCCGTGTCACTCACTCAATCACTCACAATTGCTGCTGTTGTACCACAGGTGCATTGAGGAGATGGGTGTCATGCTGTACATTGCCGACTTGACCGCCGACCTGATTGCCGTCGTTCCCGAGGGTCGTCTTCGTCTGGGCGTGGCCTGCGTCATGCTCGTCTGGGTGTGCGCCATTGTGTCGGCCTTCATCGACAACATCCCCTTCACCACCACCATGGTACCATCTCCTGCCCGCCTGTCCGTGCCCTGTCGAGTCTCTGCGCCCTTGCGCTCACCGGCGCTCACCTCTTCCCTCCCCCCTCGTCCCAATCAGATTCCCATCGTCGTGAAGCTGTCCCAGTCGGGTCTGGGGCTTCCCCTTCAGCCCATCACCTGGTCGCTCGCCCTGGGCGCCTGCTTGGGTGGTAACGGCACGCTCATCGGTGCGTCGGCAAACGTCGTAGCGGCCGGTATCGCCGAACAGCAAGGCTACCCCATTTCCTTCAACTACTTCTTCAAGGTACCAACCCTGCACCAGACCTAGCTCGCGATGTTTTTTATGCAACCAAGCGAGCTCTAACGAACACGTTTGCTCGCTTCTTGATCAGATGGGCTTCCCGTGCATGTTGGTCTCCACGGCGGTGGCCACCGTCTACATCCTCATCTCGCACGTCATCATTCCCTGGTACTGAGCCCTGAGCAGGGAGAACCAGAACAGAGCCGGCAGAAGGAGGAGAGAGAAAGAGAGGGAAGTGGGCGAGAGAGCAACTCCTGTTCCTTCTCGGCCTGGCCAAGTACACTACGCAAGAGAAAGAGAGAGGTAGACGGGAGAGGCTGGTGGTGGGCTAGAGTGGGTACTCTTTTGTGCAGATCGGGATGACTTTTTACCACCGATGTTTGTTTATACAACCTCCTCCTCCCTTCACTGCATTACCAAGCGCACCATCACACCACCAGCACAAGACGTGCGAGCAATCTTCTTTTGCTTCTTCTTCTTCTGCCGCTGCCACTAAGCTCCGCCACTCCTGTGTGCCGGCGCAGTATCGGCGGCCGTGACTCCGGTGCGATTGCAAAAAACAAAATCGGGAATGAGAGGCAGCTCCGGAGTGTTTACGACGACACAGAAGTGAAGTCCGTGGAGAAGTCTTCGCACACGCACACAGGCCACTTCGCTTTGCATCGGTGTGATCGCTTTATCGCAAATTGGATCGATTGGAGGCGACGCAGACTTCCCACGGCTTCGATTCTCTCATCCACTTCTAATTGAAACAAGCGTAAGATCGTGCATCGCCGTTTATCTTCAGATTCGAATCAGATCTGCCGCCACAATCGCATCATCCCTCATTCACATCACCCTCACGCGGCCAAGGCTCAACGTAATTCGAACGAACAGCTCTAAACACAAACCGTCTCTACGATTAACACAACCATGTCTGATATGCCAACGTACGTTCGCCTCTGCCATTTCTTTGTACGATGGAAAGGTGATGGATCAACAGGCTGCCTTGAGATTGAGAGCTGAAGGAGTGCGCCGATCAAATTTCATCTTGTAGCGGTTGATTCGCTCCCCTTTACGGCCCGAATTTTAAATAGCCCGAGTTCTGTCGACTTGGTTGCATCTCTTGCGCCCGCTCGTGCCTTGGCTGGAAGTACTTCCAAGGCACACCCACGCATTCACAAGCTAAATCTCCACTTCTCCCTTGATGTCCAGCTTTGAGCGTATGAGCAAAGCCGCCCCCTCTGGTGGCTACATCTGCACGCTGTCCGAGGAAGACCTCGCCTCGCAGAGAGGGTGCGTACCCGCTACTCCTCTTTTTCTCGTCTCTACCCACAGCCTGACCAACTCTTGACGCTTGGCACCGCAGTGTGATTTGGGACCTCGTCAAGTCCTTTGGCAAGAATCTCGTCGCCGCCAAGGAACTCACAAGTAAAACTCTTTTCCTCTCCTCTCATCCTCTCGCTTCTTCTCCACTTTTTCATCTTTTATGATTTATCGATTTGTTGTTACGCTTTGCTTGCTGCTTACGTCGGACTTGTTCGCTCCAGGCATTTCGATGCCCGTGCGTCTCTTTGAGCCCCGTTCCTATCTCGAGCGTCTCACCGACGGCTGGTACGCACGCCACCACCGCTCACCTTCTCTCAAGAAGCCACAGTATGCTCACGTCGAGATGCTCCCGCTTCGCATAGGTGGTCCGGCCCCACGTTCCTCAACAAAGCTGCGCACACATCGGACCCCGTTGAGCGCCTCAAACTGGTGATGACCTTTGCCGTGAGCGGCTTCTTCAACACCGTCGAAAACCAGAAGGGCAAGCCCTTCAACCCCGTTCTGGGCGAGACCTACCAGGCGAGCTTCGAGGACGGCACGCGCATCTACGCTGAGCAGGCCTCGCACCACCCGCCCATCACCTGCTGGCAGGTGTATGGCCCCGAGGACTGCTACCACTTCTACGGCTTCGGCGAGTGGTCCGCCTCGTTCCGCGGCAACTCTGTCAAGGGGTAAGGCTCCTCCACAACCCCCCTTACTCTGCTCTGCGTTCTTCTTGGTTTCGTCTCGTTCCCGTGGGTGTTGGCTTTGACCGTGATCCGTGTGTTGTGTCACTCTGTCAGACACCAGGCCGGACCCAACATCATCAACTTTGCCGATGGTGGCTGCATCACATATTCCCTGCCCGAGGCTCACGTGGGCGGTATTCTGTTTGGCGAGAGGATCATCGAGTACCTGGGCACCATCGACTTCCGCGATGAACAGAACGGACTCTCGTACGCACTCTTTCTTCCTTGGAGTCTCCCACTTGGAAGCTTGTACTAATATTCCTGTCTCTCTCCCCCATTAATTACAGTTGCGATCTGGTGATCAACCCCAACGAACAGAAGATGTTCAGCAGCTTCTTCTCCTCCAAAAAGAAGGTTCCCACGGACTACCTGCGCGGCGAAATCGTGCGCTTCAAGAACAAGGAAGACATAAAGAAGCCCAAGTCCAAGGTGCCAGAGAGCGACTATGAAGTAGTTTGCAAGGTGCGCATCTACAGTTTCTTCTTCTTCTTCGTTTGTTGTATTGTGGTCGTTGGTGCTCACACACTTTCACTGCTACAGGTCCAGGGCAGCTGGCTGTCGTGCATTGAGTTCGATGGTGAGAGGTTCTGGGAATGGAACGACTCGAAGCTCAAGATCTACACACCCATCCCGGTCGACGACCCTCTGCCCTCGGACTCCCGGTTTCGGGAGGACTGCAAGTACCTCGCCAAGGGCGACCTCGAAACAGCCGGCGAGTACGTCTCCCCCTTAACGACTCTTTGTGTGTGTGTCGTGCGGTTCCAGTCGTGCTAATATGGCATGTTCTCTCAACAGTTGGAAGAGGAAGATCGAGCAGAAGCAGAGGAGTGAGGCTGCGTTGAGGAAGGAGGGATACGAGATCCGGAAGAAGGAGAACGCCAAGGGCACCAACGAGACGAAGGAGAAGAGAATTTTGACGGTGAGCACCATTAAGAAGCGCCTGGACGAAATCGAGGAGGCCGCCGGCAAGGAGAACGGAGAGGCGGGCAAGGGCAAGACGGCTGCCTAGGAAGAGAGACAGAGTGAACGAGTGAGAGAGGAGTAATCGTCAACAAACTCAACACCAACCAGCAATCATTGACATCATCCTCAACAAACACCCAAACCAAGACCGGGACCCAATGAACAACACACACGCGCGTGGCACGGCTTGACAGCGGCGCCGATCACATTTTTTCATGTCTTACCTGTTTGTTTGTGGCCAATGCAACAAGGAGATGGTGATGGTCATTGTTGCGTGCTAACCATGTGCCCTTTCTTTGGCCCTCTTTTTTCTGTTTTGGTAGTCGCACGGTAACAGGATCAATGCTCGACTTTTTTGGGTTTTGGGCGCCTGGACGGACTGCGCTTACCGCCAGGTCCCCGGGTGGTGAAGGTGAGACCGAACGATACGGCAAGAACAAGAGTTGGACTGGCTTCACAATTGTTGTAGTGAGAGGGGGGTATGCACAAGAGGGTCCACCACGGGGTGGAAGTGGATGGTGACGACGATGAAGAAGAGCGTTACGCTCCCATACTGGGTGGTGCGGGAGCGGGAGGCGACGACTCACTCACTACCGGCGTGGCGGGCTGGAGCGGTGGAGGAGGAGAAGAGGAGGAAACGGTGAACAGTGGCGGAGCGTCCACGGCAGTACAGGCTCTCGATGATCTGGACGTTAGCGATGAACGCGACCAACCATCCAGGAGGGCTCACCGGCGGCAAGCCTCCACCCATCAAGAGGCTCCGAGCTTCCTCTACAGTATCCTCCCCATTCGTCTAGTAAAGGTGCAGAACGCAGCGTTTACCCATTCTTTAATCTTGTTCAAATTCATCTTTCAATTCATACGACCAACAGAGCCAGACGGACCCAACGCTGCAGGCGTCGCTGGCCCTCCCTCTCACCTCTCCACCACCGGACTCTGCAGGTTCTCCTAGCTCGCATTGCTAATCATTTAATTATTTAATCACTTTTCAAATCGTTTGATGTGATGGTTATTCAGAGTCCCTGGTGACCGTGGGCAACGTGCTATGGGTGCTGCTGTTCGGATGGGTGTTCTACCTCCTGTACGCCCTGGTGGCCATCATCTGGTACGCTTCGCCTTCCCCCTCTTCTTTACGCTGCCATTTCTCACACTACGCGACCTCCACCGCACACCCCGCAGCCACGCGACGATCGTTGGGCGCCCGTACGGGCGTCTGTGCTGGAAGCTCAAGAACTACTTCCTGTGGCCCTTTGGCAAGTACATCACTGTACTGTGCGCTCTCTTCTGCCGTAAAAACGTTCTTGGATCAGGGAATCATGCTTCCTCCTGCTTCTTGGTGCACCAGGGACGGCGACGAAGAGGGCGTGTCTCGAGCTTGATACGCTACCCGCCGATCACCGAAGATGACGACACACTCCAAGAAGATGGTGCGCCTTCACCACGCCGTGTGTGCGTGCATGCGTGTGTGTGCGTGTGTGTGTGTGTGTGCCTCAACACCTTGACTGCATGCAGGCAAGCTCCGCGATGCCGAGAATGAGGAGCTGGTGACAAGTCCAATCCAGAAGCCGGCTCAGAGTCGCACAACGCAAAGCCCTCGGGCTGCCGGCTGCTCTGCTCCCGCCTGGCCTACTGCCTCTGGCTGATCACCGGCGGGCTGGTGCTCGGCCTGGCCCACGGCGTGGCGTTCGTGGTCTGCTGGTTCTCTGTCGTGGGCATCCCCATGGCCAAAGTCAACCAAACGGCGATGTGGCTGCTGGTGTACCGCCCGCTCGAGATCGAGATCTACGGCGGCCGCAGCTATCCGCTCGAGGAGATTCTGCTGTGCGCCTACCAGGCCACCAACTACAACTACTACCGCTTCCAGGTGCAAGGGCTCAACGTCGTTCTCGTCAGTACGTCTCTTCTCTCTTTCACTCGTGTGTCGTGTGTCGTGTCGTGTGTGTCGTGTCGTGTGTGTCGTGTGTGTCGTGTGCGGGTTAGTGCGAGGTTGATGCGTGACTGACCGCCCGTCGTGTGGTTGCAACGCAGACCTGCTCCCGTTCGTGGCGCTGACACTAGTGCTGGGCTACGCGGTTCCGGAATCGCTTCGGCCGCCGCCTATCATCATCTTCATCAGCGCCCTGCTCTCCATTTCGCCCATTGCCTACTACATCGGGATGGCCGTGGCCAGGTACTTACCTGCCGCGCTCCCCTCCCCTCTGGTCACCCCACGCGCCGCAACCATTGACATGTTCCCCATGCCACACCACGTCAGCATTGCGGCGCAGACCAACTTCGCGATCGGAGCCATGCTGACGGCCATTTTCGGCGTCTCGATCGAGATCATCCTCTACTCTATGTACGTCGTGCCGTCTACTGTTGCTGGCCCACACCTCTAACACCACACACACACACACACACACGACCAGTGCGCTCTACAAAGGTGGCCTGGTACCTCTGGTGCAAGCCGGCGTTGTCGGTGCGTCGTCCGAGCCCGCTTTGCGCCTTCTGAGGCGGCGCCAGGCGTCTGAACTGCTTTTTCTTTCCCTCCCCAACCACCAACAGGGTCTCTGCTGGGCGACCTGCTCTTGCTGCCGGGCCTCTCTATGGTACGTATCCACCATCGCCACGTCACCAGCCCCTCCCCCACGAGTAATTTCCCATTGGCTCATGCTTGCTGCCACGCGACTTATAGATCGCGGGCGGGCTCAAGTACCACGAGCAGCGGTTCAGCTCTCGAGCGGCCGGCGTGTCCTCCGTTCTGCTCATCGTGTCGATCATCGGTACACCCACCCACCACCCACCACCCACTCTTACGTGCTGCTCACCGAGGCGCACCCAACGCGTGGGGTGGTCCAAGGCGTGTTCGGCCCCACCATGTATTGGCAGGTGAACGGAGACACCACGTTCTCGTGCGACGTGTGCGTCCCCAAGGACAACAGGTTCGCACACCTGCCAATTTAATTGAATAATATAATATAATATAGTAGTTCAGGTCTGTCGGTTGGGCTGATCACTGACTTGGTGGCTTTTGGCCTCTGGTCAGTACTATACCGCTCGCGTGCACCCAATGTCACACGAGTCCCGTCGACTTCTACAAGGACCCCCTCTTCCAAAACACCGCCCAGTTCGCCCTCCCCTCCCACTTTGCTCTTTGTCGCTCTTTTTCACTTTTCGACGCGCACGCACCACCGCACCACCGCACCACCGCACCACCGCACACGCACACGCACCGCCGCACACGCACATAGGCCTCTGATTTACGCGGTGGCTGCCATTCTGCCGGTGAGCTACCTTGTCGGGCTGCTCTTCACGCTCAAGACACATGCGCACATCTTCAGCAACGCGGCGGCGGGCGAGGGCGAGGGCGGCGACGACGGCCACGACGCGCCGCGCTGGTCCAAGCTGAAGGCCGTCATCATCCTCGCGGTCTCGATCGTGCTCTTCTCCCTCGTGGCTGAGGAGCTGGTCAAGGCCATCGAGCCCACCCTGGAGGCCCTCAACATCGGACAGACCTTCGCCGGCGTCACCGTCCTCGCGCTCGTGCCCTCATCAGCCGAGGTACATCCCGTTTCGTGCGTGTGTCGTGTGTGTAGTTGTGTGTGCTGTCGTGTGTCGTGGTGTTGCGTGTGTCGTGTCGTGTCAAACTCATAGTGCGTAGTATGTGAATGCGATCACGTTTGCTTTGAGCAACAACGTGGCTCTGTCTCTGGAGATCG